TGCGATCAAATGAGAAACGCTCGCTGACCCGCCACAATTTTAATCCACCGTCGAGTCACGTGCTGTCAAAGCCCCCGCGAACGTCCCACCCATCTGTGGTTGCATGTGGAAGATCAACGTATTATCTTGCGCCAACAACGCGATCCCGCTTTTTACCGCGCGTTATTCGGACGGTTCTGCAAACGCTGAATTCCCGAGAGGTCACGTCCTAAGTAAATAAAATCGCACCCTCGTGCGAACGTATCGGGGGGGGTTAAACTGCTCGTTCGCGTCGTCATATTTAATTCCGAGAGTCGTGCCGGCGCGCACGTGCGAGCTCATCGCACATTAATAAGGTTACCGTTATATGCAGCGGGAAGGAAAAAAAAGCAAGCGACTGGAATGCAGAATCGGCGACACTATGAAGTCATTGTCGCGTCGATGCATTGAGATCTCATTAGCACGGAGACTCATTACAAGCGGCGCGGCAATATTCAATCGCGTCGCTTACGACGTTGCGACAAAGCGTCCGACTTCTCACACTTTGTTCACGAGCGAAATGTCCGCGAGCACAATGTCGGTGTGGCTACTATTACGAGGGAAAAAATAATCAATAAACGTCGTGTGAGGGGGGGGGGGGGGAAGTAGCGTTTATGAACTCCGCAAATTCTCGACACGTGCGCGCGCGGGGAACTTTTGTGAACGGTCGAGTTCTTCGTACGTGCGTGCTCCAACGCGCACGGAAATTTTTCTTTAGCCAATCTCTTCGGTTTCAACGCGTGCTCAGAAATTTTCCTCTGTTTGTGTATAAGTATGTATAAAATTTGGAATATTTATACGACGATTCGCGATCGTTCCTTCGCGTATCCTCTCTTGATTTAAGATCGCACGGTTTCTTCTTCCGCGGCGTACGGCAAAGAAAGGAAGGGAGAAATAAAAGGAGAATACGATAAATAACGACGCTAAGTATCTAGGTGCGTCCGTAGTTACCCGATGACTAAACGCGAGCGCGGGTGTTGCGCGGCACGCATTTCGTTCCTCACTTGAAAATACAGCGCAGCATTTTTCCAAACGAGAAACGATAAAGGAACGAAATTTTCGTGGCCGGGCAATAATGCGATCGCCTCGGGGGCGGAGCGGCGTTGATGTGTCCGCAACCCGCCCATTAAACACGAACCTGCCTGCAAAGAGGTAACAAACCCGGCAGGAGAAGCATGGATGTCTCCTCTAAATCCTTTTTCGAAACGACAATTCGATGGGGGCATAAATTCGTGTATACTTAACGCCAGTCAACCTCTGCGATATGAAAATCTAATAATAACGGATTATCGTGGCCGGATACATCAGGGAATCTTATTTGTGGACGGAATCGACTGGTCATTTTTAACAATCCCACGACAAATCCGTACAAAGCGGCGCCATTCGTGAAACGTCAAATAACCACCGACTGTCCATCAGACGTCTCTGACAATTGCAAAGTGAAATTCGACGAAGGAGACTCCGGCGATTGAACGGTGAAGCATGACGACCTACTTTCTTAAATAAAATCATTCGTTCCTCTTGATGCCCACGATTTTTTTTAATTGAATGGGACGCACCGATGTAACATCGAGTGTTGTTATTTTGGAATCGAATGATTCCACAAAAATTATAACACAAATTATTATTCTATCGTCAACAGATTCTTTGATCGATTTCACGACCGACAATATTATTTCTCCCGCTAATATATTCAATATTTCTGTTACAAAAACCGGTCGCTTGTATTGATTGCGAACTATTAAACGCGTTTCTTAAAAGCAGAAACTAACTCGAAAGATTTGCGTATATTGTTAGTAGAAACAATGATATCGAGTAAAAAGATGACACAAATTTCGAAGTGCATTGAATTCAATCGGCGATGATGAAGCGACGTATCGAAAACATATATTGCGTAATCAATTATCGACACGTCCGAAGAAGACTAACGCCCTTAAATAATTCATCCAAAGACCTCGAGGATGGATCGAAGGCCGTTCGGGATCACATGCAAATCGGATTCATTAGCGTTAAGCCAGACGGGGGTGGAAAGTAGAGTCGGCCGTACGACCCCTCGACGTAAACACTGCCGGCACTGCGTCAACCTCCGCTCCCGAGGGCTGTTATTGCGCGGTTACACCAACCCCTACTAGCATTCGTCTCTTTCGCGAATACATTTGAACTTTGCTCTTCGTATCTTAACCGCCACTTCGTTTTATTCTCAAGCGCGGAAATATTTGAAAACTCGAGAGAGGTCGCGTTATATTGTTTTTGTAGTCGTTGTATTATCGCAAAAATAAAACAATTGATAACGCGTCTATTTTAGAGAACTTATAGTTCTGTATGTAATTTTACGCACCGTGTAATAGAGAAGATATAGGAAAGTTTATAAATATATAAATATATTTATATAGAAGTTCTAGATTCAAGTAAATATTTACTCCAATACTCCTTAGAAAATTTTTTACTCGAATAATATTTACTTCATTTTAGATTCAAGTAAATTATCCAAGTAAAATGTACTTAATCCTTAATAATAATTAGCTAAGGAATATCGGATTTACTAGTATCGTTTATCTATATAAATTCTGATTTTGTCTCCTAAAACAAAAGGGGAAAATTATATTCCCGCAAATATAGAGAATTCTAGCTCGTGCAAAATGTTCTCAGAGGTAAAAACCGCGAAGCGATGCTATAACGATGATCGAAAACAATGATCGGGCGTAAATACTTCTGAATTGGGATCAGTTCGGGAGTTTTCCCTGGGGCCGGGCGGGTCATGGGAGCACGAGGATGTACCCTCGAGATTACAGAGATTACGCGGAGATTGAATCCAGCCACCCCGCGCGAATGCCTAAATGTGTCTCCGGCAAGCTGTCCCTTAATCATCGTGTCTTTACCAGAGGTCGTTATCACGCTTCCGATCCAAAGTTACACGAATTGCATATCATCAGAAAACGCTCGTTATCACATGCAACTATAGTCGTGTATTTTCTCGTCTTCCCAACATTAAATATCCACGATTGCTCGAGAAATTCTATACAACACAATATCATATATTAGCGGAACACATTGACAGAAAGGGAATGCGACAGCCGCAAATAAAGAGGAATCCGGGAGAGTGGCCAAAGTTTTCTCGTCCCTCGCGAACGATCGCGTCAATTATGCGAAACGCGCGTAATGAAAGCGCCGTCGTGAAAACCAGTTGAAAACAAACTCTGAAAGGATCTTGGCAACCCCTAATCAAGTCCCGTTTAATAAAACCGGGGATCCCTGAGTCTTGCACCCCCGGCCGAGCTCGGCTAATCTGACTTTGATTAAACTTTTAGCGACACCGAAAAGGGTGCCGGGCCGATAGAAACGCGGGCGCGTAATTCGTGTGTACTATTACGCAGGGCTGCACACACAGCCCGACGTGTAAGTCGATTTTTATTACGTTCCATCGCATACATTGTACCATGTACGTCGCGCGCAGTTAATGGGCTTATCGACGCCGTGGGATTACGACAATAAAGTTTTCCGACGAAAACTGTTCATTTGCATTTCCCGCGGATCATGGCCGACTCCGTCCTGACGAAGATGCAACGTCTGCGCGAGACTCGCTTGTCGTGGTCTACCCTTGCCTCTACTCTCAGGGTAAAGTTTCCGAATTTAGCTATGGCGAGGGAACAAATCTTATGCGCCACGATGAAAAGCAATTGTCGATAGTGAATCGATCAATTTATTAACGTAATGAAAATTTTGCAATTCTTATTATCTGTTATTAACGTCGGTAAAATATTTAGACATACCTGGTCATCTGTATGTGAAAGGTTAAACTTCTTACCTCACTATTGTTGTGTACATTGCCGTGCAATCTCGTTGATATCCCGCAAGATTCAGGGCCCTGTAACGAATGGTGTGTTAAAACGTCGAAGCGAATATGATCTCGTCGTTATTTCCCGGATTCACTTATGTTATTCAATCGAACATAAAACGTATCGTGCATAAACCCGCCATTACACTACACTATACCGGCGCAGTAGCGAAATCTATCGTTGTGTCGATAAACTAACGTTAGCTATTTCAGGAGGATAAATCTTACGCCACAGCCAGTGGTAAAGAAACTGCATTACCGATAATAATTGAATAAAACTGAATTGCCGATAATAAGTCGGCCAATCAACAAGTACAAGACGTCCTATGTCCAGATTTTAGGACGTTGCATTGAGTTATAATATACATTTTACGATTTTTATTGTATCATTCCCGAATATTCCTCAACAAGCAACATACTAATTGGTCAGCTAACCGTTGTCCAAACGTGTGTCACACTAGTTTTTCAATAGAATCGCGATTGCAAGTACGTTACGTATTGAGATAAAATAAAAATTCGGATCTAACTCTAATTTCAAGTCTAGATACCTCACGTAAGCCAAGTAATTACTATTAATAAAGACCTAAGATATTTAGACGACATTCGTTTGTTTTTTTACCTCGCTTCTAGTTGTGACATTGTCACCTAATCTTTGATATCTACCATCAATCTTAGCATCCTACATTGAGAGAACTTATAGAAGCATCGAGTCCAACATAAATTTATCGTTATTTCGCGGATCTACTTACGCTATTCGATAAACAGCTACGTGATCGTACGTGCAGCCTCGAACGCGATCCGCCATTACGACTCGACTAACCGACACGGAACATTACCGCCATTTCGATGAACTGAAGTTGGCTATTGCGAAGAGCCAACCTTACACTGTACAGGAGGATCCCCAACACCAGTATTACCACCGTAACCGACAGTAAAGAGTTATCGATTTTTAGTGAATCGATTAATTTCGGAACAATCTCTCTCAGTTTAGAATGAAATTTATAATCTTTATTATATTATATACCCCGTTATTTATATCGGTAAGATATCGTATGGTCGGGACAGTCGATAATATCAATGCCCTTACCTGACCAACGAAGTACGCGCACCATGTCAGAGGGACAGGAAGAGAGGGAGGGAATGAGTGCGATAAAGGAGTCATAAGATTAACGTCAAATAACTATATTAATTCTTAGCAAGCAGTTACGAGTTTTTACCTTGATGTGCTATTTTTATATAACAACCGAACCTGATAACAAGAATGTATTGACTGAATGACGCCGACGCGCCGGCGATAATGTCGCCACTGTGGTAACGAGGATTTATAAATCGAGTGCATACATGCAATACGATCAACAACGAATCACATGTGACGAACTACTTGTGTAAGATCGCACCTTTCAATTGATAACGTCAATCGCCGGTTAAAGTGTTGAACAAGCTGATAAACGCGCTTGTAACTCATCGGATTGACATCTCGTGGAGGGTAAATGTTAAAATATTCACAATTATTGAATTATATTCGATATATAAAAGCTGATTACGTGCGTATGTGTATTTGTACGTGTATGTGAATCCGCGATTAAAATTGTTTCATACTCGTATTATTGATGAAAGAGAAATGCAATTGTGAACAACCGGACAGATATCTGTGATTAGATTACATGTTTTATGCGTAATCTTAGGAAATTATGATACGCATGACACGATCGAATAAACTTTAATCCTGCCGAGTGGTTTGCAGAATTCAAAATCTATCGTTTTCGTTCTACAGAAGAAACTAACCTATATATACATAGATTTGTTTATATTCCCACGAGTAAACAAATTCTTATTAATTTGCGAAAACAATCAGTCGAAAAAGAAAAAAGATAATTCGATGGCCAAACTGTTTATTTGAGCAATATTTTAAAAGAAATATTACCCACTTCTCCATTCTGTTGTAACTCTGTTCTTTGCAGAATACATTCAACGGGAAAATGTTTGTCGGGACAAAGTTGTTACAAAGATGTCTAGCGCATAATACGCCTTTGGGTTGCAGATCGATGCATCTTCTGAGAGATAATGCATATATTAACGGAAAGTGGATCGGTGCTAATAGCAAACAGACATTTCCAGTATGCAACCCAGTCGACAATAGCGTTATTGCTTCTGTTCCCGACATGAATACTGCTGACGCTCAATTAGCCATTGATGCTGCTGGCAAAGCTTTCGAATCATTCGGCAAGACTACGGCTAAGGAAAGAAGCGACCTGCTCAGAAAGTGGTATAATCTGATGGTTGAGCACTGTGAAGACCTGGCCTGTATTTTAACTAAAGAGAATGGAAAATCCTTGGCTGAGTCTAGAGCGGAGATCAAGTATGGTAATTCCTTCGTGGAGTGGTTCGCGGAGGAAGCTAGGAGAATAGACGGCGAAGTCTTACAAGCTCCTGCAGCCAATAGAGAATTGTTTCTGTTGAGACAACCGGTCGGAGTAGCGGCGTTAATTACACCGTGGAACTTTCCACACGCTATGATCACTAGGAAAGCGGGAGCCGCTCTTGCCGCTGGATGTACATGCGTCGTGAAACCATCCGAAGACACACCGTTGACTGCGCTGGCACTGGCAGCACTTGCGGAACAAGCGGGTTTCCCCGCGGGAATCTTCAATGTACTCACCACGAGCGTCACGAATTCCGCCACCGTCGGTAATGAGCTATGCGAGAATCCCAAAGTAAGAGTGCTGTCGTTCACCGGCTCCACGGCCGTGGGGAAGATTTTGTACAGGCAATGCGCATCGACCATGAAACGACTAGGCCTTGAATTGGGCGGTAACGCGCCTTACATCGTATTTAAATCCGCGGACGTGGATCTGGCTGTAAACAGCGCTATGGCCAGTAAATTCCGAAATACCGGTCAAACGTGCGTCTCGGCGAACAGATTTTTCGTAGAGGCTGACGTCTTCGACGAGTTCGTTGGGAAATTTGTCGAGAAGATTAAGAAGGAGATTCAAATGGGAGACGGTAGCAAAGAGGGTGTCACTCATGGGCCGCTCATCAAGAAGAGTCAGTTGGACATGGTGAACGGTTTGGTGAAGGAGGCAGTCGAGAAGGGTGCTAAGGTATATTGCGGCGGCGCCCCGTTACCGGATCTTGGATCACTGTTTTATGCGCCTACCGTGTTAACCGATGTAACCAGAGACGCGCAGATCTACAACAAGGAGATCTTCGGGCCCGTAGCTGTAATTAATAAATTTACTGACGAAGAGGACGTACTGAAACAAGCTAACGACACGCCGGTCGGTCTAGCCGGATACTTCTTCTCGCAGGACATATCACAGATATTTAGAGTAGCCCGTAAATTGGAGGTTGGTATGGTAGGTGTTAACGAAGGTTTAATTTCGTGCGCGGAAGCCGCTTTCGGCGGTGTTAAGGAGTCCGGTTTAGGAAGAGAGGGTTCCAAACACGGCATCGAAGATTTTCTCGATATCAAGTACGTGTGTATCGGCAATCTCAAACGCTGACTGACCGTGTAAATTGGATAGAAAAATGCATTTTGAATAGGCAGTCAGTATGTAATAATAAATGCTATAATTCAATGATAGACAATATTACTATAGAATTTCATTGTGACGTATTAAGTGACACGTGAAAAAATTGAAGTCGTCTTAAGTATCGGAAGAACATTCTTTTGACTATGATTGTACATAACTAGTTATCTGCACTCTTATTGCTCCTTTGCTACAGCTACTAAATATAATCCTAGGTAATATATATATATAATATGAATAATAAATTATATATATTTTTTAATCTTTATACAGAGTGCAATATATATTAATTATATAATATACAAAAGTATTTTTCGTACTTTACTTTGCCAATCTGATTTTTCTCTCTGTATAGTTATTTTCTATACTACACACACACACACACACACACACAATATAAAACTAAATAGTACAAACCAAGTCTTCCAAATGTTGCAAACAATAATAAGAGCATTATTAATACATTTCTTGCACTCGCCTATTTTTTCTACAAGAAATATACACTACTCTTTAATTATACTTCATAGTTCCTAAATAGGAATTCCACAGAAATTTTAGATAATGTACGTATGTATAAATGTGATGTGAAATTAAATAAAAAATCTATACACAGAGTGTTAAAAGTATCATTTCTTCTCAACAACATCTTTGATAAATCTTGATCTTTTTTTTACCGTTATAGAGTACCATCTTTATAACTCTCGTATAAAGATAATCTGTCAAAACAAAAATTTACTTAAAGTTTGATAAGAAAGCAAATTTTTATCTATTTACCTTCTTTACTTGATTTACTAACTTTATTTACTAAATCTAACTTTCTTATTTACTCATAACTCGACAAATATGAATCTCTAAATAAGTCTCTCTCTGAATGATACAGCAAATAGCCTACATCTTATCTTAGCTATTATCTCGTTATATAAGCAGTAGTCATGAAAACAATATGAAGGATATCTGCGTTTATTTGCAATGTGATAATTAAGTGTAAAAGTTTTGATCTTGCTACACACTCACTTATATATCTCCGATCGACACTAATAACTTCTTCGATTTACGTTTGTACAACGGTTAGGTATTATACTACACATACTCACGATCATATTTTAGAAATAAAGATATATTCATACGATGTAATAGTAAATACATTTAAAATGTTACATACATGTTGTCAATGACAATATTTTAATCGGAATAAAGCAGTAGTAAGAATGTCAGCAATTTTTCAGTCCATGCTTTTGAATATACCTTTCTCTGGCATCTTTAATCATCTTAGCTTTTCTCTTTTGAAAGGAAGAAGTTACCAAGGAATCCAAAGTTTTGTCCTTTGCAGAATTCGGTTGAGATCTACTAGCTGATGGTACAGCCGATTGGGTTGGTGCGTTTGGTTCTGGAGTATAAGTAACTATGCCATCGAGAATATTGGCGATTGTAACGTCAACGTTCCGTGTCTTTACTGTGAATGAAAATCAACTGATGAACAGTTGCTACTGGTAGTGTTCTAAGGAATCACTGGTAACGAAATGAATTAGGTTTCATGGTGAGAGTTAAATACGTACGAAGATCTAGGAGAATCACATTATGTGGTACGAATGGAAGTACTTCGCTGACTTGACGGACCATCCTCTGTATCTCTATGCTATGTGAGTTTAGCGAACTTCTACTAGAACGCGTTCTATTCAGTATCCTTTCCATAAGATAACGCTTCTCATATTCCGTCTTATCTGATACGGTGAAAGAACTCGTTTCAAGTCCCAAAGCATCCGCAATATCTTTCTCTACTTCTCGCACGAGAGTCTCGTGGTCGGGATTGCGTCTGATTTTCAGGTACTTCAGCGTGAAAACTGTATAAGGGACGAACATGAACCACAATACCTCTGTCCACCACGTCGAAGCCAATGAGGTAAGGAGCACAGGCACAAACTCTGGTCTCGATGCTTTGATGGCGACTGGCTGCACCGACGTTTCTATACTAAACGGCCAAGAATTGAACTTCAACAAAGCAACCTGACTGTTGGTCGTGCCAAATTCTGGTTGTACAGCGATACTATATGTAGATGTGGAAAGAAACTGCTTTATATTGGCGATTAGCGCTTCTTTACTGCTCATATCCATCTTTTGTAAACCTAATGCATTGCTCAAGGCAGTAGGTAATTCCCAGGTGCTGGGGGTTAATGTCTTGGTTACTCGACGAAGAGCAAAGTGGTCCAGAACGGATACATTATTGGCGACTGCTATTCTCGACTGCTTGTCCCTGAATTCGCTCTCGTTATCGACCTTGACGACGATGCCAAAAGCAAAGCTAATACCGTAATTCAAGAATCCTCGAGTAGAGTCACAATCGGGTAACAACGATGCGAAAAGCCAAAGTTGCAACGTTACTAATAGTCGTAGTAGCACAAGTAGGAGTCCCAGTGGCGTGTACAAAATTACAGGTAGAAGGCGCCAACCGTCAGGTAACCTAAATCATGCGACTGATTAAACTGACTGATCTAACTGATTTATAGGATTGATTTCACGCCAAATTTCAACAATGCAATTGCAGCGAAAATACTTATATATGGTCTTCCGTTTCTCAGCATATTCCATAACATGTGCGAAAATTTCGAAGGATATTTTCGTGCTTTTGAACTAACGTTGAAAATATCACGGCCGAATGGCTATGCTAATGAAGCTTTATTGCAAATTATCTTACCTGCTTTTGTTAAACAACTCCTGGATATCAATTTGTGACATTTCTCACAACGTCGTACATCTGCTACATTTGAAAACACTCCCTCGGCGTTCGTGTATCTCGTTAGGATGCTAAAGCCACTTGGTTGGGTGTCGCGTAGACCATGAGACACGATATATTATTAAACCCTTCTTTTACATACTTTTCAGTAACCTTCTAATTATTGCGGATTTTCCTCTTCGCCACTTTCTGCAATCAGCTGTTCCGTGTGTCGCGATACTAGGGATTTCTTGCCCACGCGGGAATTTTAAGTGCCATTTTCAATTGTCCGTCAGCTGATCGTCACCCACATTTATCATACGATTTCATGCATGAAATGATAAGGTTGATTCATATTTTTCGCTTCCAGGAATCTTCCAATAAGTTACTCATCTCTCTTCGTCGTCTCTTAGTCACTCGAATCGTGTCGATGACACACATGAATTATATTAATTTTACTAAACGAAAATTTATTTTTCTTCCTTATATGTAACAAGTATAACACTTCTTATTTATTATATAATAAGAAAACTTGTATAGGGTGAGAAACATTGGAAGGAATTGTTTAGGTAATTCGATATTTCCGGTCTATTTAAAATAGCAGTGTAAATATCTACGAGATAGGATAAGGAGAAAAGCGACGACTAGTACACTAAAAATAACGTATTCTTACAACCGACGCACTTATACACGTTTTGAATGTCACTCCGGCAAGATGTTATTTTACGTTATGAGAAATGTCGCGCTTCCTTACATGACAACCGTATATTTAATATTAGTATAGCTAATATATACACTCATGCACTTATATCCCACGTAGTTTCATTCGTGTGCCAAAATCTACAATGTAAATCGAGAAATATACTTGACACGATGCGATCTCATATATTTTCGGTACATATAATACTTGTATATAGAATGTAAGAAACGAATTTAAAAACACGATTCTTGCATATAGACTATACGTGAATTTAAAACTTATTCTATGTTTAAAATAATATGAGCATGCACGCACTTGTGGTGGTTTATTCGTGTTGTAAGAAAGCAGGTAGAGCGTGTCAGAGGTTGAAAAAAGAAATCGGAACCTATGATTATATATTGGTCCTATACTCGCGTATATAAAAGTGCAGAGAAACAATCCTTCATAGAACATTGGGTTGCCCAGATTTCCCTACATTCCTTATCTTACCTGAGGAAAGCGTCGCGAGCGTTGCTTCCTGATCACGAAACACGTTCATATGCGCATTACATAAGAATGTATACATGCATTATTATAAACAATACGGAACTGCATACGCGCATATGGCCATGTGTAATATATCTATCGTTCTTGCCTTAAAATGACTTAAAATGTCATATTATTATTACTATAAACATTTGTTCTAAATAGATTATACGCGCGACATTCATCTCAGTGGGATTGATTTTCATTGGTTGCAGATTATCGTGTTTCGGGGGACTACATGGGACCCTCTATCAAACTGATCTTCATTGTACAGTAATAAATGCTGCGACCCAAGCACAAGAGTGCCAATAAAAATGCACCTGGAAACACATCCGGAATTAGACGAGACGTCGGACAAACGACGTTGTCGGTACTTACCAACATAAGCTACATAAATTCCACCATTTGTCTTTACATATCTGTACGTTCCGAGCTGTAATCGCGAATATAAATTGAATATTAAAGATAGAAGTAAAATTTTTTCGGCGCGAAAAAAAAGTCAAGTTGAATATTTACCGTTACAGCTATAGCAATTATTAAAGCTATAATTCCAACAATGATAAATACAATTCCCCGTCCTCTGGCAAAATCTGGACCGACTGAAGATATCTTACGGCAATGCGGACATCGAGCCAGAGCATTGTTTAACGTGTTAAACTGAAAGAAGATGAGAAATTTCACTTCCAAAGTGTATTTCTCTGAGCTACGACAGCTTCACAACTTACCAGAAATGTGTCATGACAATGAGCACAGCCTACTCTGCACATGCCTGGCATGGATAATACCGGTGGTGTGATAGGACTCGGAGCCAGATTAATGATACGTTTACAGTTGGGCCTCGGACAAGCGATGCGTTGCGATGAACTTTTGCATATGAGCAGACAGTTACACGGGCATCGCACGTATTTCTTCCCTGGCGGTGCGTTCCGTATCGGCTGTAGGAGGAAAACCGTTCAGGTGCCGAGCAGAGAAATACAAAGAATACGATACAAACACGTACTGTAGCCTCGTTGCACTGACAGCATTTAACAACGTGTTGGTCTCTCTTGCCGGAAATATCTATCATCGCCTGACAAACCCTGCAAGTGACCATGGGCATGCCACCCTGGGTGGCGGACTGATACGGCGGCGGCAACTCGTCCGGCCCGATCGTGGACACCGTGTTGACGGTGGGCTGGGACTCTTCTGCAACCGAGCAACGAGAGTTCAGAGCGTTTCTTCGCGTCTTCATACACACATGTATTTTCTATACCGAAAGCATCGCTGCCGTGGGAGCTGTACGTGACGTTCTCGTTTTTCAGCAACGGCTGTCGCTCGCCCTCCTTGCCGTCTCCCATGTCGAGCGCGACGCGACCAATTCGCTGGAAACGACGACAACGGTTCCGCTTGTTGTTTGACAGCACTCCCGGCGCATCGATGACAAGGATGACAAAATACGAATCCTTCTGGCCACGGAGTACGGCGATTGTAGCGCGGAATGCGAGTCTGACCTTGTTTACACTAATCGTTCGTGCCCGTTTCCACCGTCATGTTTAATCGAACAATTTTTATTTATCGTCGACTTGTTTCATTACAATTTCGAGAAAATCCTTCCTGATTTAACGTGGCGACGTTAAAATTAATAGAGAATTATTCTTTGACAATGCTTATTCAACTATTCTCGAATACTCGAATGCGATTGATCGATTTCATATCAAATTATTGCGCACATCGGCGCGAAATAATGCAAGCAATACAAAATGGCACATGTTTATTTCACTCAAGTAAATCTTGTATGGTGCTTTGTTGTTGGTTTCAACATTTTTTTCGCGATGCAATATAATCGATGATTCAATAAGAAAACGAAACTCGCTTGTAAGTCCTAAGCTCTTAAAAATTAAATCTCCTCTCATCGGCGTCATTCGAAATTGTGTTTAGAGAAAAACGTCTTCAAGCCGTAGTGTTTGGTGAAAAGATTCCTGTTTTCTTCATTCGTGAATTGGAAATATTACAACTTGCTACAAACATTTTGACGAAGAAGGAGAGGAAGTTGTTGATAAATTGGACTTCTTTGTATCTTTGACAAGTTGTTCATTATTTTTGGACTAAATGTATCAATTGTAATCAACCAAGACGTTGCTAATAAGATTATCATTTTATGTGTTCTCAGAATGTTCGGCACGATGATGAATGATCGAAAACGACAGGAGGACGAGGTAGTTGCAATTTCCAGTATCTATGATGAAAATATGTTTTCCACAATAGATGAGCAGATAAAGTGCACATTGAACGTATCTCTCACTGTTCCCCAAAAACTAGAGATAAAAGTCGCTGATCATTCCAATGAGACATCTGTTGCTATCGGCAACAAAATCTTTGTGGAACATTTGTCACCTGCCACGCTCGACATGCATCTTCCTAATACATACCCGTCTCAAAAACCACCGATTTTCAGACTCTCTGTTCCTTGGCTGCCCCTTTGGGAGATATCTTTCTTATGTCAGAAATTGGATGAAATATGGGAGGAAAACAAGGGCAACGAAATTCTTTTCCTGTGGATAGATTTTTTACACAATGATTTATTTAATTTTCTTGGCATAAAAGATTCTTTAGATGTATCTTTTATGCACATGGTTCATTTGACACCGCAGGATTATGTCAACTCACATCTAGCGTACCTATGTGATTCTAGAGCCATAAATGATTCATTATTTTTAAATCCCATCGAATTTTTGACGTCTTATAACAAAAGTCAATGTCAAGTGCAATTTAACAAGAAATCTTACACTTGTGACATATGTTTCGATAAGTATATGGGACTCAAATGTGTAGAACTGAAGAACTGTGGACATGTTTATTGCAAAAACTGTATAAAGGAATATATACGTGTTAAAATTACAGAGAATAATGAGATCATATTATGCCCGACATTCGAATGTAAGTGTAGAATAGATGTCAATGACATTAAAACCTTCTGTCCTCACCTGTTCCCACGATATGAGAAACTTGCACTACGCATAGCATTAGATACTATGGAGGACGTAGTATATTGTCCAAGAATTTCCTGTCAATATCCAGTTATCAGAAATCTGGAGGATGTGGCAATGTGTCCTATTTGTTCTTATTGTTTTTGTATATTTTGTCATAAGGTAGAGTAACAGGCAATTTATCGTATCAATGAATATGTAAGAGAAAAATATTAATATATCTTATTGTAATTTTTGTGTAAAAGGTATATCATGGCATTACACCATGTGAGATGTCATCAAGAGACTTTCAGAAACTCATTGACAAATACAAGAACAGTAATGATAAGCAAAAGAAATTGTTGGAAAAGAAATATGGCAAATTGCGGATACAATTGGTTGAGAAGCACCTCACAACAAAGTATTTGCAAGTACATATCTCATAAAAGTGCAACTAAATAATTTAGAAATTTGATAACTAGATCAGATAATGAGATTTACAGGAATAATATCACTAACGAAATGTTTGCGATACAGGATAATGCGAAGAGTTGCCCGAGTTGCCGCACTTTCATCATCAAAAGCGATGGTTGCAACAAAATGACGTGTACCCATTGTCAATCTTATTTCTGCTGGCTGTGCGGTCATAAGATTATCTCGACAAATGCATATGAACACTTCAAGGATAAAAATAGCCCATGTTTCGGACGTTTGTTTGAAGGTGCGGTGAACATTGATTATGACGTAATGCATAATATAGCCTGGTTCGATCAGAATTTTTAAACTATGTATATGCATAATACAGCATAAGTTTTCATATCATGTAGAAAAATTCGAAATAAAGTCTACATATCAATATTATTACTATATAAATGTAAATAACAAAGGTAATCAATCATGTATAATTTAATTATATTATACATTTCGTATTTTACAATTTGTAATAAAGTATCGGTATAAAAAAATATGCTGTACATATATAATATATACACATGTACATATATAATATACATTGTAACAATAACAACTACCTTCGGTATATAATATCAGACTTTGTGTTGCTGTGTGTTTCATATAGAAATCATGCATCTCTCGGTGCGTGAACATCTATATTTATCTCAGTGACTAATTGCTCTGCAACAACAGAAACAGCAGATGGTCGTCTTTGTTGGTTTTCCGAGACAGCTGTAAACAAAATTATGACAGTAAAATTATCTTTTTTTTGGCGTCAATTTAGCGACATTACCTTCACAATTCTTATCACATTCCACAATCGCTTGTTTACGGCGAAACTGTTCCATTTTTAATTGTACTAGTGTAGGACCAAAGATCCAATACCCCAAGCTTCCGCCAACTCCAATAGCAATAGTGATATACACATTATATGTCATAACTGCCATCATCAAGATATAAGCAAGTATGGTATGAAGAGACCAATGTGATACTTGAAGTATCCATTTAAAGTAAGGATCACTAAGAATATATTTGATTTGTTAAAACACACAAGGTCTTCTTTAACACATACATGATCTTTAAGATTAAATAGAAACAAGAAGAATCCTGTCGTTCAACGAAATATTCAACATTGGTTTGAGGTAATAATATTTGATCAGCTGTGCTGTAGTAATTATCCGTACGATTTAAATATATATAAATTTGTTACATCAAGAGAGGTCTGAAATAACATACCATTGTGTACGAGATGAAATTCTAAAGGTTCTTGATGTAACTTTGGATAATAAAGATGAGCTCTCAGAGGAAGCGGAAGTTGTTCTCGGCACTGACCTAACGGCAAACCGCCGTTGCAAGTGAAACTGAGAAACTTTCATAGCCTCGTAGAGCACTGCAAGCGCAGCCAAACCCAAGCACGTGGCCAGAAGACCCCATACCGTGGTAACATCATATCCCGAGAACAAAAAGCTGCCCAGATCCACGCCAAACCAATATGTCATACGCATCTGTGAAGTAAAATGAAAATTTACAATTGATATCGCAAATAGAAACGTTCTTGTGCTGCATTTCACAGACAAAGGAAACAACGATCATAATTATACCCACTTTAATCGCTTTAACTTTTCATTACCTTTTACACACATTACGAACTCTCGTGACGTTGACACACTGTACGATTGTGCGCGTACTATCAATTACCTAGCTTTACCCAAAGGCTCATTAAAGTTAGCATTCGCTTGTACGAGAGTATTAAAATATTTCAAAACGTTTTGTTGCATTGTTAATACGATTTAATGTTAAAAATGCAAAATACATGAATTCAATGTAAAGTTACAAGCCTCCTGTTCTTAAATATGAATTCTCTCGTTCTCGTGATATCAAATGACGCATTAAGTGAACTTTGATGTTTGCATTCATGAGGTCAATGTGCAGAGAGATTGAAGCGAGCTCCTCGCATGCGCGATAACGCAAATATTAGTAAACGTTCCTAACCTCAATCATATATACATGTATATTTATACACATGTGTATATTTCACTGCAATAAGAGCATAACAGGCCTTATTCTGAACCCTGTCTAGTCGATGAGAATACTTTAAATGTGGCTTCTCGGCCAATCAGGTTGTTCCTAAGCCATTTTTAGAAGTACTTTTATCAATGACAGACAGTTCAGAATACAGGCTAACGTATCTAGTCCGAGCATCGTGGAAGGGAGGTCGAGGTAGAAAAAAATGCACGTAGAAAAGAATGCATTCTATTCTTCTTCGTTCTATGTGCGTATATCCTTTTCTACATAGCTACCTCGACTCCCAATCCTCAATTAAAAGCAAACGCTCGGTCTAGATGCGTTTATGAACAAGAGTTACTATCAGATCTCTTCCATGAGAAGAATTGAAAATGTTAGATGAAAGTGGTAAAAACACTTTTGTGTTGTGTGAATAATACAATTTACATATAAACGTTCGGAAGTTTGAGTCTGTGAAATTGGCGCGTAAGTTACGTACGCTTGCGCACAAAGTACCGGCCGGAGGAATTTTGTGTTGACATGTGTGCATTTATTGTTTCATCTCGGCATTCAATTCCAATCTTGCGAAGATGAGGTCGTTAATTAACATTGCTTGCTTTATTTGCGTATTGTTCACTGTGAGTACGAATGCAGATATGACAGGTATTCAAATTATGATTTCAATGTCTTTTATCCTATATGTTTGTTAAAACCTATTGTATATTATCAACACAAATTACCAAAAATAATTGTAGAATCCAAGGATGTAGTAGTGGTGGTATTGAGCCAAAAGGAAGGCTATCATGCTGCTCATGCTGATTATTTGCGAAAAAGCATTTATGAGCAAGCAAATACCCTCGAGAAAGTGCGTCGAATCATACAAAGCTGTTCATCTTTTCAAGGATGCATCATCATTTTATATGTAGCTTGCTCTCTTCTTTTTATGTTTCAGGTAGCACCAGAAATAGTATTGTCTCATGAACTCCTTATCAAAGATTCTTGGACAATAACTTCATTGTTGATTCATTTGTCAAGTGCATTTCCAAATGCACGATGGTTCTTCTTTTGTTTGGAGAATACTGTAATTCGGCTGGAGAAGCTGTTGGATGTCCTTGGAAGATTTAGCGCGTCTCTAGTAAGTCATTATTTTCCAAAAAGATACAACTTACACATTCTAATTAAACTTTTAATCTAGGACATATGGATTGGACATGCTCTTTATGACCATGAACCTACTATTATTCATCATTTTGAGAAGCATACTAAGAAATTTAAGTACCCGAATATTGCGTCAGGATTTGCCATGACTTCTAAGCTATTAAAAAGGTATACACTTCAACCTTTATGTTAAATAGAAACCAGTAAGTATGTATTTTGTCACATGAAAATTAGCTTTTTATTTCACGTTTTTTTTGGAAATGCAACTTTCATCATGTCTCGTTCAGATGTTAAAGATTTCATCTGGTATTCCAGTCTATCTGAAGAAATCTCCAAAGGCAGAGCTCCAAAGCCAGATTTTTCTATCGACTCGTCATATGAATTTGCGAGTTTCGTTCTAAAGAGTGCAAACGCTGTAAGATTGACACATGTGTCTAAAATATGTGTTGTATCTGGTTCTGATTGTGCCACGTATCCTCGATTCTTCCATCCTTGTGTATGTCATATTAGCCAAGAATAATTGGACTGTACCAAAGTACCATTTTAAATGGCTTCTTAACATTTACAGAGTTCTTCCATATCCCCAGAGAATGTATACTTTGCCGTTAAAACTTGTTCCAAGTTCCACAAAGACAGAATCCCGGTGATTAAGCAAACGTGGGCGAAGCATGCGAAGAATATAGGATACTTCAGCGACACTGCAGGTACGCACAATCTATGATCGATCACACATACATTCCATATTTACAGTCTTCATTAATCACCGAGTTGTTCCAGTATAGACAAGTATTTACGGAATGCGTACGTCGTGCCGAATACTACGGAAGGACATTGCGCCAAAACTTACGCCATTTTGCAAATAACTAGCGATATAATGAAGAGAGACAATCTCGATTGGCTGGTCATCAGCGACGACGACACTATATTCAGGTGATTTTAATTGAAAAGTTTATGCGCAAAGACGATCCGTCTTATAGATAGTTCTGGAGAAGGGGAAATCTTGATCGGTCAAAAGAGAAATTACTTTCGTTGTATTGCAGCGTAGCACGTTTGTTGCGTTTGCTCACGTGCTACAATCCTGACAATTCGGTCGCGATTGGCGAACGTTACGGCTTCCGTACATGGGACAACAATCACGGTTATAATTACTTGACCGGTGGCGCGGGAGTCGTGTTATCTGCTCCGTTGGTTCATCGGATGGTAGAAACGGTGATATGCGTTTGCCCATCCGATATTACTCCCGACGATATGCATCTCTTCGGGGCCTGCTTCCTCCGCCTCGGATATATTCATTCACAGCCGGTACATTCTCCGTTGTTTCATCAGGTACAAAAGGATCGTCTCTTGTGCAATAGTCTTGAGATATCGCGTGTTTACACAAATTTGTTTATTTTTTAGGCACGGCCCATGGATTACGCTACTGCTTATCTGGCGTCGCAAGAACCCGTGTCATTCCACAAATTTTGGATGATTGATCCTAAAGTCGTATACGATGAATGGTTCGCAGAGGCGGATAGTATCTTATCCGAATCGCCACGACACACAGAATTGTAACGTGTCGTGATCTTTGTGATCAAGACATAGAATAAAAATTGTCTTACTTTTGTATTTGACATTTAGACCGATTCTTTAGTTTTATCTTAACTAAAAAAACCCGAGGACAGGAGGCAGAGATACGTAAGAGTTTGATCATTAAAATTTTATATTTTCAATTAGTACATATAAAAATATATTCTTAACAGGACGTATGGAGGTTTCGGTGTGTGTTAACAATATATAAGTCTACGATCAAATGTATTGCCATAAAACCTTTTCATCTGTTGTCATAACGTATATATATCGTAAATATACATGTCATCGTAAAATATAAAAATTACCAGCAACAAGCGATATCAACAACGATGATAATAACAATGGAAGGATTCCCGTATAACGCGCGAGACATATTTCTAAAACATCATCTCTTAGGTAAATAATAGCGGAGTTATATATAAAATAACTCTTGTGCTGTTTTATGGGCTGTAGACATCGTTATAGTTTAGGCTTCAAAATTTCAGTCCACCATGATGGACGCTCCAGGTTCTCCTTATCGCTGAATATCCATTCCTTCATATGCTTATATACCTGGGAAGAGATGATTATTGTATGCGAGCGATTTAACAAAAATTATTTCAAGAACAATGCATACCTCGCCATCGGACATTCCTAGAGGTGAGTTAAGAATAAAGTCGGGCGGCGCCAAAACGTCGACCAGCGCAACCGCATTGTCGAGCAATTTCTTGCACAGTTTTACAATTCCTTCCCGCAGGAAGCTGTCTACGTTGGAGCTGGGAGATGCGAAACCGCCAGCGTACAAGTCTCCCAATCTCTTCTCCAGGATTACAGCTCCGAAGAGAGAGCACAAATCCATCAGCACCTGTCGTTCATTCGAGCTCCACTTCGGATCTTGCAAAGATTTGTAGAAGTGAGACATTAGAGCGTGCTACAAAGAAAAGACGGGGAATGAATTCCCTTGCGTTCCAGGATAGCATCATAGAATGGTTACAATCGATGCAGAGTGAAATGAATTTTAAAAATAATAACAATGAAATTAACAGTACAATTCGTGCGCTAGTGGTTTTTATGACTCTTTCTCTGCTCCGATTGTAGCTCTTTTACCTCTGCATATACGAGAGACAAGGTCCGCGCCAGGAATGCCTGAGAATTATTTTTTACGTCAAAATCAGACATTCCGCTTCCTTTCAATTCCTTCACACGTTGATACGTCTTCTTTGCGTAATAGCACACCAGCCATTGAGAAATTAGGATTAAATCTAAAGCGAAGAAAATATTGTATCAATCGTGGACAGCATTCGTTAATCATTACTTAGCTGAGCGGTATTTCTCTTATCACAGTAGAAAAGATTAGTTTTCTCGTACATTTAGGCTCCAATGTACTCTCTATTGTCCTTTGATCAAATTTGGTATTGAGTATCCGTTTCGCAACGCGGAAGAAGTCTATGGTATCATACGGGGATGATATAGATTGTCCTTTGAGTGCGTTATCCCATTGGTTTAACAGCCAATTACTCGCCTGCTGAATAAGCACATTGTTTTCGCCTTCGTACGTGCAATTCGCATCGTTATCTCCTCTTAAGTCGCCCAACCGTGACACTGATAAGAAACAAGACATAGAAATAAAACAAACGGTATATCTATTTACACGCAAATGCTCTCGTATTTACTTTTCAAATATCCGTGACCGCCGCAAGATTCTCTGCAATCCTGAATTGCATCGCGAGCCATCCACGAACAAAATGGTTTCGTCGCGGAAGATAACGCGTGTATCTCCATTCCCTTAACGGCAGCCTGATTATCCTCTTCACCCGAAAAGCGGCTTATGTTAAACTCGACGAGTTGTTTAAGAAAATCCATTGAAAACAATCTTATCGCGTATACTTCGGCCAAGTGGGGTAGCAATCGCCATTGCTGGAACATCAAATAACGTGTAATATGTATTTGCACAAATTAAAAGAATTTTTGTCTGCCGACCAATTCAAAATGAAGATCGTACTTGCGTTTGATATTCTATAACTGGCAATTCATTGTCCTTCGTAGGACCAAATTGTTTTCTAACGGAACAGTAACGTATCGCGATTACCATCGCGAGGGCCATGTATTCTGCACATATATTGGTGATTGCAACACGACCTCCTGACAATGCACCTAACGATGAACCTGTGCCAACAACATGCATAAGCGATAATAACTCACGATATTATTATATAAAGTGTTCCAAACCAACTTCGTGAGGGCGAATTGAGGTGAACAAAAAAGTCCTGTACCATTTTGCAAACATGTTTTTATTAATTATTAAAAATGGCCACGTACAGAGGCTTTTTTAATTAATAATTCAAAAATATGTGGGTTACTTGCAAAATAGTAAAGAACTTTTTTTGTTCAGAGTGGCTTAAACCACAAGTATGTAACAACTGTTATATCTAGAATGGTTTCTGATTTGATGTTTAATGTACTTAGCCTGTTTTCATATTTCCCTGATTCAATATACCGATGTATGTATGTAGGTACAACAGCTGTCATATACTTGTAGATTCGGCTATTATGAACAGAAAAGTCCTATACCATTTTGTAAATAACACGCAAATTCTTGAATTATTAATTAAAGAAACTTCTATATATTTTTAATAATTAATAACTCGAAATTTTGCGTGTTATTTACAAAATGGTACAGGACTTTTTTGTTATATCTAATCTAGGCTTAATCTACGCCTTCATGAAGTTTGTTGGTCTGTTGGGATATCCTGTATATGTTACACATATTATTATATTATTAAAAGATGCTTGCTCTTAATATATGTCTCACCAAATCTTTTGCTTTCGTCCTTTATTGTGGCCGAGTATTTCCCATCTTCAGTGACATCCGAGTTGCGATTTAACAGACAGCTACGTGGTACAGAATATTTGTCAAATATTACGAATCCGTTATCTATTCCATTCAGTCCTATCTTTTCACCCATGTCGCCAACAATAACACCTGGCAAGGGTAGATGAGTTTCCAAATCGCGAACCTGTATGATAAAAGGGTGCATACCGTGATTCACCCCATCTGGTGTAATCAGCTTTGCAAATAAGACGGCATGCGTCGCGATTTTTCCTAAATGTACATAAGAATTGAAAGATACCTTGTATTTAAGTATTACTTTGATTGTCAATTTCTCGTTTTTTTAACTTACCTAAACCACCAACCCAACACTTTGCAGCTTCAAAGTCTGGCGTGTGAAGAATGAAACTTTTCGTTGCTAAATCGTATGTTGCTGTGGTCCTTATACCCTTTGCATTGGTTCCATGAGAAATTTCAGTCAAAGCGAAACAGCCTATATACTAAATGATCGGTGTATATATATATTGAATGAAAATATTGTATATACCCCATAGTAATTATATTTTATTATTTCGCATACTCACACTTCCATCTCCAAATTTTTCTAACATATGATAGTGATGATCAGTACCCAATGCTATTATACTGTTTGGGACCATGCCCTGAGAGATACCTAATTTTATGGATGCAGATGAGTCTTCTCCGTATAGAGAATTCATCCAGATCTGATTTCTCACTGTCTGAGATTATATAAAGATGATATATATAAGCAATTTAACCTCGATAGCATTTGACACACTTACAAGAATTTCAAGAAATCTATTAAGAATAATTGTTATATTCACTTATAAGTTAGATATATATTATAATTACATATAAATCGCTCTCAAGAAATGCTTTTATTTTAGCATGGGAGCTTTTTCGAATTTGATCCAATGTTGCTGATTTTGGCAGTTTTTGAAACGCTGGATTGGTCTTAATCAGATTCCATACTTGATCCTAAATATTTGATAATAATAATTTTGAACATATTTATATGTGTATATATATGTATTTATAGTTGTGAAATTATCAATGATATAAATTGATATCTATTTTTTTAATACCTGATATTTTATATAATCCTCTCCATATAGAGCTACCTTGAATGACTTCCAGTCAAATGTTGCACGTTTTCTATAAGCATCCAGCGGTCCTTTTGGCAAGTTGCTTACTAAGCTATCTGCAGTCTTCATTGTGCTCAAAAGACGTCTTCTGTACCTGGTGACATATAATAATATATATATATATATANAGTTTTTAATGTCTTACATGTGTCATTCCTATACTTTTTAAATATATTCATTAGAAATAATTAATATAATTAATAGAAATAATTAATAATAATTACGCCCCAAAAATTGAAGGATCTGTCCTTACAATTTTATGTGTCAAAGAACTCTTTTTATTTATTCTACTATATTTCTTCTATTCTGTATTAATAACAATTATTTTCACAATGTAACCGTAACTGTACAAAGCTGCTTTCCCTGTTGGGTATCGATTCTTTTCTTAGAACGGAAACGTGAAAAGTGAATGTTTTCAAATTAGGAAATTTACACTTTTTATGAATTCAGGCTAGAAGATAAGATTCGTGATTAACTCCTAAATGGTCATAAATATTCTCCTTTAGTGTGAACTCGTAAATAGTATAAATCTAAGAGAAAAGTTACATAATCGATATCCAGGATACAATCATTCGGTTACGCTGCTGAAGTGGTTCACTAAGAGAGACTAAATATTTTCATTCAAAGAGATTTTTTAATTTATCGACTCGATTCGGGCAGCGTTTCAATAATCCTTATAATACTGCAATCTTTAGTTCATAGTTACGTATACTATAGGATTTTCAGCACTTACAGTGAATATTAGGTCTGTTCGTTTTCGCTGCACCGCTGAACTAGTGCAATAAGTTGAAGTGAGAAAATATATACTTGTCTCGCTTCAACTTATTACAGTAGTTCAGCGATGTAGCGAAAACGAACAGAGCTATTGGAACTGGAATGAGCATTGTCATGGTGGGGTCTTGTTAAAAGGGCTGTGCGACAAAGGCCATGCTAAGTAATTGATGCTTTGCATTTGATGCACAAGCATTATCCTATTTTTGTTATTCTTTGAATGCGGAATCTCGCTCCCTGTTTTACCAACATGATATGGATGCGTTCGATGAGACGCTATTTAGCACTATCTGCATCATTATGTTTTCATTGCTCTTTATATACGCAGCAAAGATAGAATGACTCTGCAACTTGGTTAAATGTGTCTCTGTGAACGCAATTAAGACGAACGCATCACTCAGGCATTGCGAAGGCAAAAGAAAGTAAGCATTAAAAATGTAAGCTATTAGATACCTATCTGTTTTTTTTTTATATTAATTGCGACGACAGATAAGAATGACAATCGTTCCTAGGAATATGAAATACAGAAAAAAAAAAACATTTCAATAATTAGGATTAAAAAATATATAAGTGTCCTGCTCCGAGAATTTTGCTGCGATTTATAAATCGTCCAAGATGAGATTTCGAAACAAAAAATCTAACGTAGTATGTGAAGTATGCCAAATTGTTAACTGCAACTTTTCTTATTTTCTACAATCGTAAAATGTACCTATTTAAACGGAAACGAGGTGAATGTATCTATCTAAATTCCAATCTAAATACACTTTCTTATAACATTTATTCACTCGGAGTGAAATTAGACGCAATGTATTCCGACACTGGGATCAAATAGACCCAACTTTTTAAACACACTTTCTTCCCGTACTCGCGACAGTCCGAAACGCAAGAATCAAAAAGACGCGATGTCAAAATGACAGACAGACTTGAATACGCAGATATATTTATACAGATCGATTCTGATACCAATGCATGGCGTCACTTTGTTTATCTTTCAGAATTGTAACAGCTTGCTCGTCACGTTTCGACTGATCTGAACACAAATTGCCCTCGCGCATGTGCAAATTCCGCCGAGTCATTCTTTTCGCTGCATATATGAGCTACAACGTACGTGCGTTCATTAGCTGTTAAAAGTGCACCTTTCTATACTGATAAGTAGCCTATTTCCTATTTGAAACGTTAACTTTGCAATTTTAACCACCACGACTATAAATGCAACGTTGATAAGATGCCACATTGAAAGTATAATTAATATATGTATCTTATTTTCCAGATTTTTATTTTTTTCAAATTGTTGCGTAACTTTAACAAGAAGTATAGTTGTGTTTCAAAAATATTTAACGTTTTAAAAATATGTATTTCAAAATACGTGTTTCAAAAATATTTAACGTTTTAAATGAAACCTTTATTACCTTTGGTTTGTAATACAAAAAGAATATCGTACGCAAATCGGGACAAAAGCGTTTAACATGAATGAACAACAATGAACACCAATTAACATCAATGTTATAATTTACCACTAAACAATATAACTATTACATAACACGTTGTATTATATTTATATTGTTGAGTGGGAAATTTATAATATTGATATTATGTCACTGTTGTGGTTGCGGCACTGGGGAGTCTATTTAAACAAAGTCCATCGCAAAGTCCATCGCAAAGTTCTTTTACGGTCCTTAAGATCACATCACGTATTATCATGTATTACCGATAAGATACGATTTAAGAGTATTTTCTCTTATTTCCAAAAATGTTAACTATCCGCCCATACAGCACAGACGTCCTCAAAATGTCCTAATAACGTCCGTACGTTCTAAAGAGCATCCACAGGATGCATCTCGGATAAGGTGTGCCATATATAACACAAAATTTAAGAGTGTTTAGGACGTTCTACATCTAAGACAATCTCAGGACGTTTTGTGCTATCTGGATAACACCTTTTGCCTCTGGATAACAAATTAATAAAATACCTTACCTAAATCCTCGTGTTATTTTTGTCAAGAATAAGAAAATCTTTATATTGTTATTTATCCGAAAATAATAATACCCGAGCAGCACAAACAGATTGGCTAACCGTTGCCCAGTTACTAAACGCTGCACGGGAAAAACAGTTGGTCTGACACAGAAATTGAATAACCAGGTTTAATAGTAAAATATAAAACAACTAACTGAATTACGTGGTTGTTATAACCGCAGTACAATTGTTGAGTAACTTGTGTTGCAGCAGTGACGGCTAGGTTTCTTAACATTATAATTACAAATGTTCTACTGGCAACCATCACTTGGTTGGCTTAGATAAAATATCACATAAATACAAATATAAAATAAGTAGTCACTTGTCGGCAACCGTCCCGACAAGCTATTTCTTTATTCCTTACTACATTCTTTATTACGTTTGCCTCGAGTTGATTATTCATTCACCTTAGTACACACGGTCGTTTCCGCTTCGATGATCAGACGACAAAAAGTGAGTCCAACCGGCTATGCCGACATCCATTGGGTCTATTTTTTATAGATGAACTGACTGCACTAGTTCAAGAAAATTCAAAGCGTGAGAATCTCGTACGCACGCTTCATACACTTTAAGGTACATTTAGTGAATTAATGCGGCCAGTTCAGTTCTATAAAGAACAGACCGCTCGTGTAATGACCACTAGGATAATGAGTCAACTTTTTTTTTCTAACATCGCTATTTTCTAATGTGGCGTAATCAAGTTCTAGTTGATTACGCCACACTACAACCAGATTACGCGCAATTAAATTGATATGGTTGACACACCGAAATGATAAATCACATCAACCATACAAGTATTTATCACACAAGGATAAGATGACACATATGTTGCTTACAACTAAATATTTCTGGTTATGTAAACTTTATCTATTCTTTTTATGAACTATATCTTTTTTTTTTCCGTACGGGTAACAGTTAGCCAATCATTTTGCACTGCTCTAATAAGCGTCATTTTCGCGTTGTTCAAGGATATTTTTTTCTATTTTTCAATTCCTTTTTACATTATTATGTTTAAATGTAAATACGAAGTATTGCAAATTTCACAAATACCGTGGAATGAAATAAAATATATCAAGGCCGATATTCATAGTCAGATTTTATATTTAAGATTATCTTAAGTTTATCTTCAGATATTATATGGATCATTTCATCTGAAGTTGAATTAAGTATTTAAGTATAAAATCTGACTACCCAATAAATCCCCAACTCTCTTTTATCGATACGGGCCTAAGTATTAATAATATAACATTGATATTTAATATTCAACACAATAATGTTACATTACACACATGTGTAAAAACATAAACATAAATATCGTTGTTACATTACTGATACCTATTTTTATTGGGTACAAACACTGGCCTGAAAAGATAAAAGAGATTGATTTAGCGAGAACGTCTTGACCTTGTTTGAAGCGTTCCGAACGGATTAGAATACGTAAGCTAATCAACAATCGTACTCTGTATGTATTAATCAACATACAATTGCATACAAACGAGATCGTTAAATGAAGATATTGCAAAAATAATGCATAGGTTCACTATAGGTAAATCAATATATATACGACAATATATATAGGTGATATACGACGAGCGGATTGTGAGCAGACTAGACGAGAAAATTCGCGAGCGAACACTTCGATATGCGTCTCGAGGCGACGGCGGCAATTGTTGTTTTTTTCTCACGGTTTTTCGCTCGCGTCATCGCTGAAAGGTTCTAATTTCGATTCTGTGGTGTGCGAAAATATACGAAAGCGTTTCTGGCATTTTGCAGGAACGACTTCAAACGAGTACATCAGTGCGAAACGAATGATGTGAAGCGAGTAGTCGAGCGAGTCGTAGAAGAAATTGCTGCGCACAGTAATTGTATGGTTTTCATCACCGATCCGGTTTATCGTGGTCTACTTGATGAATATTCCGCAATGTCCCTTATATCGAGATACGAGGTATGTGTGACACACTTACCTTTGCTTACTGGGATTAAGTTTATGTCGTTTATGTCGCAATATCCCTTATATCGAGATACGAGGTAAGTGTGTCACACATATAAGGGACATTGCGACATAAACGACATAAACTTAATCCCAGTAAGCAAAAAACGTTAAATCTTTCGAAATATTGGGGATTATGAGGATTTTATCAACATTTTGACATAATATTTTATAAATAAATATTTTTAAACTTATTTAATAATATAATATTCATGAATATTAAAATCATGTTGTATAAGTATCACATTTGGGTCGCAAATATTGTTAACAATGACGTTGTGTTAAGAACTAAATATTTGAAAACGTTACATGTTATAAAATATTACAATGATTTCTTGCTCATTGGGATCTACCCAGGTAGTACATCTTAGTTTTATATTTTAAACGTACGTAACGTTTCATAATTGTATTACATAGATTTAAAGAACGTACATGGAACTAGCTGTGCTACATGAGTCGGCCTGTGACTGATTATATTTAGGCAAAACAAGAAATCACGATGACAGATCGAGATATCGTCGATAAAATGATGAAAAAATGGGCGTAGTTTTCAATAGTTATTTCCTCGTTTGACGTCATCGTGATTTCCACTTGGGTATAGTTTAAAATGCTTCTACGTAGTGAATATAATAGTTATTCACACTTGATTTGCATCTCGGATTATGTTAAATTAAAATTAAAACTCACCGCGGAATTCATTCAATACGTATTCGATGTAATTAATTAATAAGAGGAGAGAATATGACGTTGATAATTTTTCCGCGAATACTTACTTGTGCAGATAGGCCTACGCGACAATGAGGATTTCTCGCGGCCAAGAAAATTAATAGAGAAGACACTTCGGCATATAAAAGCGGCGGGCTGTAACTCGTACGTTGTTCTAATCGCTAACGGACTCCTGGCTTCGCAATTCCTACAATACGCTGAAGGGTATGTTATTTAGTAAGATAACATATAGGTAAAGTTGCGAGTGACGAAGGAATCGAACTGAAATCAAAACTTGCTGCTAATGATACTTATGTCTACCATATTCGTCGCAGCCATCTTCTTTTATGACGTCAAAAGTGAGACAATATATATAATAAAAAATTCTCGCGATATACGTTGAAATAAACAGATAGATATGCCCAGATCTCGTAAAAAAAACTCCGAATATGCGTTATATATAGCCTTAAATAGATGATTTCCTTTTCAGTCTTAAAAAATAGACCGGTTCACTCACATTCTAACTGATTTTCGCAGAGAACGTCTCCTCGACACGCGAGGTTACTTTTTGCTCTTCTACGACAGTCGACTGTTAAGGCCGGAGTTGCACTATATCTGGAACAGAATCGTCAATGTGGTGTTCGTACGGCGTTACAGTATGTATAAATACCGGTCGGGAGAACGAATTTTTATCGAGCGCATTGACCTCGCTACCGTTTACTATCCGTCGCGCGAACGAGACGTTACGGAAATGAAGTACATCGACACGTGGTACGACGGCAAGTTGCGTTACGGCAACGACCACTACTTGTCGAAAACTACGAATCTTCACGGCAACGGTCTACGGTCAGTAAAACGCGAAGGATTTTTGCCGAGGATAATATTCGCGATTTATATATAACCGCACTGATAATCATGGATCACTTGCGTTTCCTTCTTTAATAAGCTTCTTTATTTTTCATATATTTCATACTTATCGAGCTGATTTGACTTTCGAATCGAAACTTGGACTCGCAGAGTCGCGGTTTTCGAGCACATACCGGCCGTGACGGAAACTTCGCGAGAATACTATGAGCAAAATTCGAACGGAAGCTCCAAGGCTTTGGGCGTCGAGTTCGAGGTATGTGTCGCTATACGACGGCGGTAATAATGCCAAAGATACATTACATCAAAAGGAGCCTGCTTCCTAGTTGATCCAAGTCATAGCGAGAGCGATGAATTTCAAAGCGAACTACTACATACCCCTTAACATCGAGAACGAGAAATGGGGTAAAGCTGGCGACAACGATAGTTACGGCGGCCTTCTCGGCGAGGCGATCAACGGGAACGCCGATTTTTTCCTCGGAGACCTGCATTACACGGTGCACCATCTAAATTATCTCGACCTATCCACACCGTACAATACGGAGTGCCTCACTTTTTTGACGCCGGAAGCGTTGACCGATAACTCATGGAAATTACTGATACTGCCTTTTAGGTACGCCGTTACCATGGACGTCAGGGGGGGCAAAAACTTATCTTCACACAAATTTTATTATTACAGGAGGAGGTGGTATTTATAGGTACTGATCTCTCTTCGCTGTTAAGTTTCCTGAATAGTCGCTATGACTGTCCTTGTTTAATGATCAATTTATATAATTATCACAGTAATATAGATATTATAAATATTTTGCAATATATTAACAACTCTATTTTTACAAAAATAAGCGAAATTTTAAATAAAATTCCAGGCTTCGCTATGATTGTTGTCCTTGTTTAATCAGAAGCGAGAAAACGCCAAGATTTCTCGCATTATACCTTTAAAGATATATAAATCAATATTCATTTCACGACTACTTAATTATTTCAATAAAAAAAGTCTCTTTTTACAAGTATGCTGAATTGTTCACAGATGTCATTTTATGAATATATCTTTTTATCTGAAAGGATAACGCAAGAAATTTTGGAAAACTATGTAGTATCAAAGTAATCATAGCATGTGTTTTCTCTGACGTCCATTAAACTAGAACAGTCATTGCTGGTCAGCTATGCAGGTCATAGCTAACAGTTGACTATATTATTTAATTAACGAATTCTAGCGATTACTTACGGAATCATTTATTTAGTAGCTCGCAGTGATAATACATAATAGCCGACGTTTGTTATAACGTATTTACTTTGAACATTTCAGCATCTACGCATATTTCTTTAATTTAGACATATCACCGTATGAATATATATATATATATATTTAAATATTTTGTCCGTTCTGTAATATTTTATTCTGTTGCACACATTTTGAGTTATGCAAGATTGTTTTTCTCTGTTTATTTTATAGATATAATAAATATTTTTCATTAAAAATTGTTTTGTGCACACATGAGCGCGCGCAAATAATAATAATACAGATAACAGGTGACTAATGCAAGTAACGGATAATGCGAATAACGAATAAAGCAAATAATAAATAAAAATTTATTTAAATAACAATTAAATGAAAAAACTAAAAAATGTATTCAAATAATGTCCAACTCTGATCTATACCTATTGTAGATTCAACCTAATCGCACGCCGAAATCACACGCTCGAGCGATGACACCTTTTGTGCTTTCAGGCCGAATGCGTGGATAGCGGTGTTTTTCGTACTGCTAATGAGCAGCGGGCTTTTCTACTTGTTCGCGTTGTTATACCAAAAGTATATAATCTCGTATAAATACATGATCAGTACGACGAACGAATACGACAGTTCGAGAGATCTGTGCGAGTTCACGGATCTCCAAAGCAGTTTATTATACACGTATAGCATGCAGCTTCAGGTATCCTTGCCGCGTTTGCCGGACGCGTGGTCCATGAGGGTCCTAATCGGCTGGTGGTGGATCTTTACCATTCTGGTAGCCGTTATCTATCGCGCCAGTATGACAGCTACTTTGGCAAATCCCTTCGTTACGTAAAGTATTCAACAAACAAGATATCCTCGAAGAATGCGGGATTCTTTTTGTTGCACGGAGAAAAAGAACGCGACGACCCAGTAAGCAAGAAACGTTAAATCAATCTTTTGAAATATTAATTTTATGCGGATTTTGTAAATATTTTGACATAATATCAATGTTTTTAAATTGCTACTTGATATTATAATATTCCTAAATATTAAAATCATAGTGTAGAAATATTATTTTTAATGTTTGGATCAAATATCGTTACTAATTACGTTGTATATAACATTAAGAACTACATATTTGTTATAAAATGTCATTGTAATAACGTTATGTGTGATAATAACTTCTCGCTTATTGGAGATAAACGAACTAAATGCATTTTGAAGAAAACAGAATTTTTGGTTATACCGGTATGGGAAAAACAAAAATACAAAAAAATTGCTAGTATTGAAAAAATATTGGTACCATTAAAATAGTATTATTGAAAAGCTATTGTTCTTTAGAAGTGCATCAGTAATTTTGTTCGTATCCTTGCAGCTCTTTTCCGTACAAATAAAAACCAAATTTGATTCATGAGAATCAGAAATTTTGCACTGAATTACATTTCGTTCGTTTATCGTCGCGCGTTAATTTGACCTACTTTTTCTGCGTGTAAGGATTCCTTGCAATTTCTATTTCCTAACTTTGCATTTGATTTATCTTTTCGTATTCCTGATACGCTTATCATTACAGAATAACTATCGATACCTTGGCACAATTGACGAGAGCGTCATTGCCGATAGGAGGTTGGAATGAGGAAAGCAGAAATTTCTTTCTCGCTTCTACTGACCCGCACAGCCAGGAAATCGGCAGCAAGTTTGAGCTGGCGGAAAACGAAAAAGAAGCTGTCGATCGGGTGGCCAATGGGACATTCTGTTATTACGAGAATTCGTATTTACTGCGACACCTACGCGCTAAAGAAATATTCGAGAAAGCTAGACAGAAAAATAAAAGCGAGGAGACCGGATCGATGGTCAAGTACCATCTACACATTATGGAGGAATGCGTCGTCCACATGCCGATCGCACTAGGCCTCGAGAAGAATTCACCGCTGAAGTCGCATGTGGATATATTGGTATTTCGTGTCTGACGATATTAATTAAGTTCCTTAGAAACGCAACAACATTCCTTCGAATGAAGACGATAACATTGTTACGAAAGTTACACTTTGTTGAATTTCGCCTATATATTATTACAATGCAGAGTACGTCTGACTCTATCATTTAGTCATATCACGACCTCGGTTTCTCGTTAAGTACAGTGGCGGCTCGTAGCGGAGAGTCTGGAACTAAATTTCAGAAATAACGAGTCTACGGAATTATTGGACCCGTTATTTCTGAAATCTAGTTCCAGACTCTCCGCTACGAGCCGCCACTATACTTAACGAGAAACCGAGGTCGTGATATGACTAAACGATGGATGTACTTCTATTTCTCAAGTAGTATGACTCAAGGGCTAATCACACGTGCTCTGCATTGTAATAATATATAGGCGAAATTCAACAAGCTGTAATTTTGGAGAATTAATACGAGATCATATTTTTTTAGGTCAGCCGAATGATTGAAATCGGTTTAGTGGGCAAATGGTTGAGCGATGTTATGGAGTGGTCAAAGATCACCGAATCACGGCAAAAGACGGAATCGGAAACGGCGCTGGTGGACCTGCCGAAATTATACGCCGCCTTTGTTGCTCTCGCAATCGGTTACTGTTTTAGTTCCGTAGCTTTGCTGGGCGAGATACTCCATTGGAAGTACGTCGTTCTGAGAGACCCAGCGTACGACAAGTATCATCTGGATACGTTTTATAAGAACAATCATAAATTTAAAACTTGAAACAATCTCTTGGACTTTATATATTTTAAGATGTAGTAAAATTCGAGCGGGCCCCGACGTAGGTGACTGGTTAATTTAATATAAAATTTTCTAATTGGTGGTCCAGCGGAAAGGTACTCTGACCGTTAGTGTATATATAATAAAATATATTATTAATAAATCATCTTGTATTCGTGACATAAAAATTAAAACGCTTTATTGAAACTGTACTGAATACTCTTCCGAGAAACAGAAGTTCCTATTAGCCGGATATTAAATACTCATGAAAAATGATGCTGCCCTCCCAAGGCAGTTAGAAAAAACAAATCTTTCTTATGCTACGCGCCTCTCAGCTGATCGACTTGCTAAATATTTTCATGACATGACCGCGAGTCGAAGGTCACATATTGTTATATCACATGTTTGATAAGTATCGGGAAATAAATCGGATGTAAAGTAATTTGTTAGAAATTCAGTGACGTTCATGAAAATTCATCGAGCACGTGATAGCTCGGGCATTTTCGAGACGAAGAGAAATTGTTATAAACCAACATGTCCGCGATAAACATAAAGTCACTCATCCGTCAAGACGTCCTGAAATTCTTGAACTCGTTCGACACAATCTTGACTGATTGCGACGGTGAGTAAAAATTACGTTAGAATACCTGTGTATGATGATAGTTTTGCAGATCTCGTTTTTAGGAGTGCTATGGCTGCACACGACACCCTTGCCGAACGCCTCGGACGTCCTGAATCTTTTCCGCAAGCTGGGCAAACGAATTTTTTACGTGACCAACAACAGCACGAAGACTCGCGACGAACTCATAGAAAAATGCAGGAACTTACAGTTCGAGGCTTACAGAGATGATATTATGTGCACTGCCAATCTGTCAGCAAGTTACCTGCAGAATAAAGCTTTCACTAAAAAAGTGTATGTTATCGGTTCTCAAGGTAAGCTTTGTCTATGAATTAGATATGTATTCACTCTCTGTTAAGTTTAATGTATTTGATACATACATTTGAACAATGACATATCACTCTCGCAGCCTATATATAGCCTCGAGATTAAACTCTCCTTATCAGTATTTCTCTTTATTCTCCACTGTTTTTTATGTACTTTACTGCCTGGTTTATCAGCCAAATGCTACTGAGAGGAAAATTGTTTCAAGAAGCAGAAGAAAATAATGAGAAAATTAGCATATCTGTATTATATGGATATATTACAATCATTCATGGATAAAAATTATTGACTAACTAATTAGTTACTAACAGAAGATTAAGTATACTTTATATAATTGTTTAATTTCTGTATTTATTTTTATATAGCAATTGCAAAAGAATTGGAATTGGCTGGTATCTCCTACTGTGGAATAGGACCAGATGTAATTCACGAAAACAAGCCATATCACATTTTTGAGAAGGATCCTGATATATCTGCAGTTATAGTTGGTTTCGACGAGCACTTTAGTTATCCTAAAATGGTGAAAGCAGCCACGTACTTAAACGATCCCAATGTATATTTCATTGGGACCAATACAGACGAAAGATTTCCAATAGACGATGATGTCGTTATACCTGGTATGCGTTAAGACAATTTTGCATGAATGTATTTAGGAAATGTATACTCCGATTAAATACCTATAACATTTTGACAACAGGCACGGGAAGTCTAGTCAGGTGTGTTGAAATATGCGCAGAGAGGAAAGCAGTGATTATGGGCAAACCGGAAGAATATATGGCCAAAGTGCTGATGGAGCGATATAAAATTGAGCCAAGGCGTACTCTGATGATCGGAGATCGGTGCAACACCGACATACTGTTCGGAACTCGTTACGGTTTCACGACTCTGCTAGTTTTGACGGGGGTGAGCTCTCTATCGGACATCGAGAAATGGAAGCAGTCCGAGCAGCAGGAAGAGCGAGATTTCGTGCCGAATTACTACATCGATGCGCTCGGAGACTTATTATCTTACCTTGAAGAACTCGATACCGAAACGTCATAGACTCAGTTAACGTCGCGATCTCACGCCCGGCGAGCGCGTGAGTTGTGTACAGAGTCGAATGGGTATTAAAATTGTGAAATTCTTCGCACTTACAATTTATTCTCCACGTTCACACACACACACACACACACCTCTCGCGGGAATGGTACGATGAAATGAGCAAGTAATCGTTGCGCATGGCTTTTAAGTCTTCCAACCCCATATTTATTTTGGCAATGCCTTTTATATGAAAAAGTACACCTTTTTTTTTCTCGAAAGGGATGATACACGTTTCGGAGATGAGTAGAGAGGGTAATGTAGAGGGAGAGAAAAAGGGGGATTAAGAGGGCGAAGGGAGACAGCCTGGCGTGTCTGTGTATATGTGCAAGTTTGTGATAATACAATATATTATTCAAATATATATATATATCTATATATATCTATATATATATATGATATAATGGTAAACTTAATGGTATGGATTCGTAATCCTTACCTAGATTTTGTCGTAAACTCATAACAATGAAATATATTTAACGCGTTATACCATCGTAATATAAAAGAAGCGCGGTACGTGTATGCGTGTCATGTGTGTATCTTTTACAAGTTTATCAGGGTCTCCTCCGATTCTCCTTTTAATTTACGCAGAAGAGAGCGGTTAGGTGCACTTGCCTATATCTTACGTAGAGACATCCAAATATTGATTTCGCGAAGAGGGCTTCCGTCGTAAACTTCTTAACTGCTAAGTCGATTAAAACGGCCTCGATGCGGTAGCGTAACACTCATTTACCAACGTTACGAGAAAGCCGCTCCGAGAGCGCAACGCCTTCCTCGACGCGCGATTACGTTTGGAAGCTTCCGAGGTAATCCCTTCTTCTTACGTGCGACACGGAGGGAGAGACGATATATAACGCGTTCGAGGCGCCAGGCTGAGTCCCGATGCCACGAGGAAAGATCAGAGTAATATTCAGTAATTAAAAGTTAACTAATTGGCTTCTCGCGCATCGCGGGTTGGGTCTTTCGCGGACTGAAGGAAGAATTACGCGCACGAAATTGTAACGCGATCTCCTCGTTGCGCTCTTGGCGTGCCTCTTTTCCTTTCTCTCTCTATTTTTTCCCCTTCTTCTTTTCGGCGAATTTAATAATCGACGAAATTCACATTCGAACATACGCATCGGTGATGATTAAGTTAATTGGCACAAGTTGTCTCTCGCGTACTTCGATGTCTAGCGACGAGAGCACACGAATAATTTGCGACCTCGATGATGGATGGTGATGAGAAGAAGAGGAGGAAGAAGAACGCGAAGGTTTCCACATATATACTTCTTGTGTGTGCAGTTATCTAATGTTCTCGGGAAGTGTTACCGCCGCGTGTCGTTCACCGTCACTTCGCTCCCAATAAGCCTGTTAACAGCACTAATACCCTCTTATTGTGTTGGTCCTTAAATGTTCGTACTTGAAGACCCCAAGACAGTAAGAGCGTGCAGAATTAGGTACGCGTAGTTCTGGATGGTTGATACCTTTTTCTACGACGAATTACGAGTAACGAGAGGGAGAGAAAAACCTGTTAATTTACAATCCTAATGATACGTTAACGCGAATTGAAGTCTAACAATCGTCCTTGTGTTGCGCTTGCTAAATTTTTACGCCGCACCACCGCGAAAAGACAGTTTTACGAGTTACATGCACGTACAATTGTTTCCGAGATCCGCTTGAACACGGAAAAGAATAACTCTGCTCCTGCGACTGAATAGAGATCAGACGAAGATTCGACGACGAGAAATGATATCTCTGTTATCGTGACTGAGGGTTTTTTATGACCGAAAATCAATAAAAAGAACACCTGCTCTGATTAGGCTCTGTTGAGAAAAACCAGACTATTAAATTCTGTTGTCTCTGGGGATTTGCGCCAAAATCCCAGGTAACATGTGAATTCCTATATGAATTTTTAATATCCCATATAGATTCCGTTGGAGAATCCATCTGGAAATTTTCAACAGGGGAATTACTTGACGGAAAAAACTTTTTGTCGGCCCGTATTATTTGCGAACAAATTATTTCCATGCGGGAATCTTTCTGTTCCTACAACAATCGAGTTCTCGTCTGGCCCCCGGGAAATTCAGTTACACCAATGTAATTGTCCGTTCCGTGTACACAAAAGCGCAAAACGCCGTACTACGAAGACACGGGAATCACTAATGGGGAAATATGTCTTCTCTGTTTCTTCGTCGGCGAGGGAGATGCTATTTTCGAAAAATATATCGTCGGATATATTTAATTAATCGGAGATAAAAGTATAGAGATATCGTGTTCCGCATTTTCCAGAATTCGCGAGCGTTTGTTTAAACAAATCTCTTACATTAGGTACCCGTTCTGTTTCTCTGTCTCTAATGTTCCTTCTCGAGTGTATATGTGTGTGTGTATGTATGTGTACAACGATTCCGCGTATCCTCTCTAGAATTTTCCTCACTTTTAGCCGAGTCGTCCCTCCAAGATAGTTTTTGATTGTCTGAGACTCCGAGAAGTGTCAGTTCTCAGAGATCGCATGGCGAATAAAATACGAAATAAATATACATATATATTTTTTTTTGTTGCTTTACTCTCTTACACGCTTCGAAACACTAATGATCAACGATTGCGTCGAATCGCGAGATGGGAGATCAACACCTCGTAAATTATGTATCTGCGAGCTAAATTTCATCGGTAAAATTTCACTTCACTTCCCTTTTCCCTTTTCTATAAACGCGCAGCTAAAGACCGCAATCGAGCGACGTAGATTTGAATGACTCTGTATCTCTCGTAACAACGCCGAAACCGAAAGAATTCATTCTTGCTGGAATGTCGCTGTGCGTGACGCGCTACCGCTGTGTGATTGTCGACCAGGCGGAAATCGAACATTTATACCTCTCGTGCTTCGCGAAATGGACGAAATGGGGAGGATGCATTCATCATGCATTCGGATACAGTAGAAGAATATGTTATGTGATATGTGTGTATGTGTGCGTATGAATGCGTATTTCATATATACAGGGTGTCCCAGAAACAAGCTCGCTTTTCCTTCGCGCCGAAGAGTCGATCGAGGATTTTAATCCTGACACGCAAATTAAATTTCAAACGGATGAATTAATTAATCGGTTTTATCTTTCGCGTCGTGCCGAATGGACCAAGTGATTCAACGTTGGATATCGCAGAGTGGAAGAGGCTCGGCGTTTGATACACTTTTCACGGAGAGAACAATCGACACCGGCTCGAGCGAATCGCGGGGTCGACGAGAAATTTGCGATTTCTGACACACCCTGTACGAATATGTACGCGTGGCTCTTGGGGCGCCACACGTTTAGAGGTTAACAAATAAATACAATATACATACAAGCGCATCGGGCTGTGCGTATGTTCACATCGATACGCTACAAATCCCGTGTTCGCGCCTCGCATTCAACGCTCAACACCGACTTTTCTTCGTACGTTTTACAACGCGCGAGATCTTCGACGTGAATCAACGTGTCGCGTTCAACGCCGAGGGCGAGGCGCAAACGCGCTGTCCGAGCTCTAACGAATTGATATCGTCTTATAAAACAACTAAATGAAAACATTTGTACTTTAGCAGTATAGAGCAGTCATTTTTGTCGTAGTTATTACCCTTAATATCGTTATCTTCGTTTATATTATATATATTTTATACATATATATGTATTATATATATATATATATTTTTTTTTAAGAATAAATCCCGCCTCCCTTGGCACGCCGACATCGTCCACCGTTATCGTTATCCCTGTCGTCGCCATCGTCGTCGCAATATCATATAATTTCAACGAAAATCGCACGCGCGTACTCGGAGAGATTCGGTAAAATGATCACTCTCGCAAAGTATCAAGCACTTCGAATCAAAGTGGCTTTTACTTTGAATAAAGAAAAGCGAGGTGTTCGCTGCTTCAACGTCGACCATCGTCTACACATGTGTCTAAAGCTCTTGGTACAAATGATAAAGATTTATCAACGATATGTCAAATATTTGGTTCGAGCGATCGACTTTTTCTCAATTCTTACGGATGAAATCTGGCAAATTTGATCAACATAGAGTCGATTTTTTGTCCATTCAAACGGCATCGGTTGGTTTATGGGGCGTAACGTCCAATTAGTTTTCTTGTCTAATTAAATTAGAGAAGAATTGATTCCGTATGGATAAGAAATTTTCGTCCGCATTGTACGCGAGGCCACGCTATATAATATATATACGTTTGTATATACCTCCTTCTTTTGTGTCGAAGAAAAGGGCATGCGTGTAAACGGCGGCCGACATCAAGCAGAAGAGCGATTATTGCATAATCCAGCAGCTGCGGGCGGAATACGTACAAAGTACTTTGAGAACCTGAATCTGGTCTTATTTTCTAGCGTTTGCCTTTCCTTACACTCGCCTGACTTAAATAGCGTCGCTGACGATAACGTCGGTGTAGATTATTCAGTAACATAAGTACAATAATTGCAATAATAATAACCATAATAAGCATAAAAATCATAATTATTGTAATCGTAATCATAATATCGTAGTAACATCTATAATGACGCGGTAGAGAGTAGTAACGAACAATAAACATATCCGTGACAATGATAATAGCAGTGGGGAGCAACGATAATAATAGGATTAATCGTAATGATATATCATCCATCGCAACGATATTGATTACGCAACGATCTTTCCATAAGTATATATGTACAGATATTATAGCACCATGACCGAAATCTCGAAATTCGAAATCTAAAAGAGACGAAGCGAAAACGCAAATCAGGATCACCGCGAAGTGGACGGGCTGGAAAGGACGACGGGGGAAGGGAAGGGGGGAGGAGGGCTGCGGGGATCGAAGGACGGGCGGATCCTGCGTTTCAATCGGGACGCGGGAAAGAAGAGAGAATAGCTCTGTTGGATGATGAATGGGAGGGAGACAGAGCATCGTCCCTTTCAATTCGTCTAACAAGTTCAAAGGACACTAAGTCGATTATCGTTTCTTATCGCGCGTTTGCCTCTCTCTGTGTGTGTGTGTGTGTATGTGTGTATGTGTGCGCGTGTATCATCGTACCGGCCAATCGTCGCGTTTGTGCTACGGAAAGTCCAAGGATGAAAGATCGCCGATAACAAAATCAGGACGAGGGGTTTCGGCGACAGTCCTGGAAAGTGGAACATCGTCGAGTCGCGCGAGCAATCGGCAAGAACACGGAGGAACATTATCGGCACGGAGTGAAATAACGATGATTGACCGGCGCCGCTTCTACGAGAAAGATAGAGAGAAAGATAGATAGATAAGGAGAGAGAGAGAGAGAGAGAAATAGAGAGACAGAGAGAGGAGAAGGAGAGAGAGAGAGAGAGAGAGTTATTTATCGTATAATAATACAATATTACTATATTATTACTATATATATTTATATATAATGTATTTGGCCGTTTATAATTATATATTCCAGCAACGTTCGCGAGAACACCTCAATTCACGATTGTTACCTCGGCGAATGATTTGTCGGAGACTAGAAATTTGGAAAAAGAAAAAGAAACACCGCGCGATATCGCGACGGCGGAGAAAAATGTCCGAGAAAGTTAATCGACACTTTTTCCCACTTCCCCGCGCCGTTCCGCGACAATCGAGTGAGAGAGCGGAAAACAATGATTAATGAGCGGCGAATAGCGCACGTTCGATATTTCCACACTGGATCACAAGAGAGTCGAGAGACCTTTCGTTTTACCGATTACGAGGATTAGAGTAAAAACGACAAAAAACAAAGCGAGAGAACACTACATGCGGCGCGTGATCGTTACAGTAGTCGCCGATATGTCTACCTTGCGATTCTCTCGACGTAAACGCGTTTTAATAGCTACTCCCTTTGCAATATAGTCTCATAATGTCCCTTTGCAATATACATATATATATTTTTTCAATATATATATATTTATATTATATTAAACGATGATATCCTCTTTGTCCAATATATTAATTAAGTATGATATGTTTATTCACAACTTGATGTGAGCGCTTAGAGAAAAAAGAGTGGAAGAGAGAAAGAGAGAGAGAGAGAGAGAGAGAGAGAGAGAGAGAGAGAGAGAGAGGAAGGGAGGAAGGGAAAGTGGGAGGGGGAAGGGAGGCAGAGAGAGGGAGAGAATGATAAAGTTGAAAATCTCATCTTCCTTCTTCTAATATCGCAAAGATATAGCGTCTTCGATTCTCTTTCGATTTGAATGATAGCGACAAACCGGGTCACGTCGTAACTTTAAGTACGCCCGCTGAATAAAACAGTGATATCTATATCAATAAAATTCTTTTCTCTCTTATATTCCCGCTGTTTCACGGATGAGTATTTCGAAAAACACATACTCGCGCACAAGCACTCACGTGCTCTCTCGGACGTATACACACATACACGCGACACTAGCACACGTAATAGACAAACACACGCGCATACATACTCGCATTCACTCTCGCACATGCAATTATACATCGTTATGCATTATATGCTAGTCATTGTCAGAGAGTTATTAGTGTTCAAAGTTTGAAGAGCCGATCGCGCTCGCTTCGGGATCGTTCCGCGCGGAATCGCGACTCAGGTAAAGATTTCTGACTGTCGTGTATGAATTGTGTGTGTGTGTGTGTGTGTGTGTGTGTGTGATTACTGATGCGTTTCGTCTGCAGCTTTTTGTACATACGTGTATAAATACCGATCGGTCGCATCCGCTCGCTGTTCTTCCGCGGCCAGACGCGACGTGATTCGCAAGCCTGCCGGACCTGCAAATTTCGCGCAACCGGCGCGACGACAACGTGCGACCGTGCGCGATCAATTAAGGAACTTTGATCCGAACCGCCGTCGCGTTTCCACTTTACTCGCGCGCGTCTCCGCCTGGAACGGCTCCTCCTGCCTCCCGAAGCGCGGCGCGGCGATATATATAATTATATATATATATATCTATCGAGATAATTCGCTATTCTACTTTTCGAGTAATAAAAATAGAGATTGCATAGATATTGAGATTCGTAGCGCGGATGCACCTAAAGAGATACGTCCTATAAAGATTTCCTCTCGAGCCTTACAGCGTGAAATTTGTATATATATATATGTATTTATATATATACGTACTCGCGCGCGTATACAACTTCTTCTCCATTTTCTTTTTATCATATAGCTACGCGCGTAGCGTTTGTACGCGTTTATGTATATATATATGCGTAACGTGCGTATGCACGCCCGCGCGTCCGTTTTGTCGTTCCTTGCTGTCTCGGTACTCTCGCGAGACAATTCTCGGGAATCGAAGCCGCCGAGATCTCGAGGAGCTCGATATTCGACGTTCCTCTTGCTTACGAGTGCAATTCATCGTCGTCCGGAACAAGCGCAGTTCGCTAAACTTCGCTGATCTCGTTCTAATTTCACCGGTGAAAGTCAGCTTTCCATTTAAAGTTTTCGAACGAGTCGGAGCTTTACGCCGACTGAATCCTCCAAATCATCGCACTAGCGATCGTCGATTGAATTGTGATTACTTCTCAACCAATCGGAGCAAAGCCACAGACTTAGTGACTGCCATTTAAAAAACGCTCTAGCCGACAATCGCTAATGTGATTCGGCTTTAAAACGAACGCGCTTCTCGACGTCCAGCGCGTCGAAACTCGAACTCCGGGATGATCGCGGCGCGGGCCCGTGAGAAAAACCACGAACGTGCTTGGAAACGCTTAATATGGAGGAGAACACTTCGTAATCTTAATTTCTGATATGTCCGTTGAGTAATTGGTGTTTCTGACGCTGATCTGGCCGATTACCACGGATTCCCGTACGGACGAGTGCCCGCTCGGGTGAGCACTGCACGCTGTGTTTATATATATATATATATGTATATAATGTATGTGTGTCCGTGTGTGTGTGTGTGTGTGTACGTTTTCTATCCTTAAACCTTAGAGATACCCGAAGAAAAAGAAAGGACGCGGAAACAACATCTCGAGCACGAACGGACGTGTTCTCGTCCATGACTCGATTATACGCATTTTGTGCTTGCCCATTTGTGGCGTTCATTACGCGCGGAGAAAGAAGCAAACGGCTGTACACGCGGCGCCGTTTGCGCAAGTTTATCGCGCGACGGTGAGAAGCGACGCGTAAAGAGAATCCACTCTCGTCGATTGAGTATTTTCAGGTAATACGTATGCTCGCTCGGGAAAACGCGCTCGCGACGCGTGTTCGTACGTGATGTTGTGTGGTATTGCCTGGCGAATAGTACAAAGCCGTTTCCCTTGAATTTGAGCAAATTGCGCGAGAATCTCCTGCCCGATTGACCCGGGGGGGGCTCCTCCCGTCGGAGCTTCGTCCTATTGCTTGCTCTCGAGAGTGTGTTGACGCGCTTCCTCCAGCGCGACCGAGAGATATCTTTGAGATAAGTCGCCTGTGAAAAGTTCGCCGAAAGAATTTCCCTCATCAACGGCCACCTCGCTGCTCGATGCGCTTCTCAGCTTGATTTTTTCCTAATATAACATTTAATTTCCTAATGTTACGCCGAGTAGTCTCCCGGCGAAAGAGAGAGAGAGAGAGAGAGAGAGAGAGAAAGCCGGTGCTCTTCGGCCGCAGAGAGAGAGAGAGAGAGAGAGAGAGACACCGTCGCGTCATTCCCCCGAGACGTCTCGCCGCAAATGAACGGTAGCGTTGGCGCGCTTCCGAAAGATCATCGTCGGAAATTCGCCGCGACTCGCCCCAAACGACGACATCGCTCTCTCACCTTTCTCTCTTCTGAATTTCCTAATACAGCGAGTCGCAGTATTGCCTAATACCGCGCGAAAGGCAGCGTCGTTTCTCGCCGCACCTCCAAGAGCTCGAGCGCTGTGTGCTGGACGAATCCTCCTCCCGGCTCCACCGTTGGTCTTCCTTGAATTATCTCGGTGTACCCGATGGGTTCTGCCGGCCGAACAGAAACGTTCGTTACACATTGTACATTTGATAGTTCTCTTTTTAGCTGGATCAAGTCACACTTTTCGCTGTTGATTCAGCGTTCAAACAAACAGGCTTTGGGACACAGTGAACGAAGAATTTAATACAGGGAAATAAAAGTATCCTGTTGAAAAAAGTTAGAGGTGGGAATGAAAAGAAATCCCACGTTCCTTATTCTTTTGACTGTGTCTGAATCCTTAAGCGATATTGATGATGCCGACGTTCAAGAGAATTCGAACACGACGCAGAGAGACGCTTACCTCCTCATTGCAAGTCCTCCTCACACTTGGGAATGTCGAATATCTCGGCGAACAACGGCGGTAACTTGAGCTTCGTCCAATTTCTGCGGAACCAATCGAGCAGATTGGCGTGCCTGGCGCCGAGCGCTCTCAACTCGGGTATCCTCTGCGAGACGCCGCCGGAGCAGACCGAGCCGGTGTCGCCGGAAGCGGCGGAGTGACTCCGTGACACCTCCACCCTGAGTGCCTCCAGCAACCGGTCCTGAAGCCTCTGCACCGCCTTCACGTCGTTCAGGCCCGGCCGCTCGCTCAGCAGCACCGCCGCCGAGAACAGCCCCAGCTCGGCGTCCGTCAGTTGGTGGGCGTTCAACGACGACGCGACTTGCATCAGCGCGGACACGAAGTCGGGCTGTCGGTCGATCGAACAAAAGAGATCGTTACGATATAATTGCTGGTAAGATGATCAGAAGACGTATTATTATTCAATCAGCATGTCGAAGATGAGAGATCGAATGCTCATTCATTCATTTATTTACAAAAGTAAATAACCCTTTGACGAAAATCAAACTGAATATTTATCCAAACCGCGAAAGGTTGAATCTTTTCATCGCGAACTTAAACGCAACAGTAGCGGATTTATATAGAAATTAATGACGCTCGTTTATTTATAAAGAGTTAAGAAGTACCCGGAGCGACGCCAGATGATGTTATAACGACGTCCTTTGTTACTTGGATATCAGTTTCCGAAGACCACTTGCCATTGGGACGCAAAGTAGACTTCTTAGCAGTATAACGGAAGAGAGAGAAAGCTCACCTCATACATCAATTCCATTTGCTGCCGGGTGATGTACGTGCCGTCCTCGAAGGTCATCGAACTGTCGCTGGTCATCTTCGAGATGTGGCTGAGCCACACCTCGAAGAAGCCGACCTTGATCAGGATCAGCTGGTCGTCCTGGGAGAGATCACAGAAGCCCGGCACTCGTTTCGCGAACTCCACCACCCTCTGGACCGACGGCGTAACCCTGACGGCGAACTGCTGCCACAGCCAGACCCTCTGCGACTCGACGGTCTCCGCCGTCGAGGAGGCCGCTTCCGGGTCCTCCGGGCTGGCAGGCTGCGAAGAATTACTCGCCTAATCAGCAAGATTACAAAACAGACCTGCCAGTTGATGCGAATCTCAGCGAGAAGTCGTGTTTTCCTCTCAGCTACAGCTTACCGGTATTATCATCGGCTTCCTCACGAGGCCCCTCACCGACTCCTCCGTGAAGCCGCAATGCGCTTGGTGCGCCTGCGACACCTGCAGGATCAGGTCGTACACGGCCACTTTCACGTCGGCGTCCGATTGATCGGCCTCGGCCACCGCCGCCGACGGCACCCGCGATACCGCGTTCTGGCTCTGGCTGTTGTTGTTATTGTTGTTATTGTTGTTATTGTTATTCTGACTGCTGCTGTTGTTATTATTGCTGGCGCTGTTGTTGTTGTTGTTATTGTTGTTGTTGTTGCCGGCACCGGGCGAGGTCAGTTGCTGCATCCCCGTGGTGGTGGTGGTAGTGGTCGTGGTCGTCGTCGTGTTCGTCGACATCGCGTCCTCTGGGCCGCGTTCTCTCGAGCGTTTCGGCACCCTGCCGTATCTGACAGCTGCAAATTGGCACGACGCATCGGTCATCATCCTCGAGCGATCGAACCACCGGACTACTCTTAGGCCCGATTTGTCATCTTATCGTTAACTCGTGGTTTAAATTTGGAAACTGACAATAATGCGAAAATAGTTTTTCTATTCATCGTTAAATTGACGGCTTTGTAATGGTAAATTTCCAGCAAAAGAATAACACATACTTTTGTCTTCGCAAGTTTATCTTTGGATAACTTAGCATATAGCGAGTTCTTTTCATAGCGCGGTTGGAAAATTCATAACAAGGAAAGACCAAAGGCATAAAATAGCAAGTACGCTTTCGAAGCGGTTCTATTAAGAGAGACGGCAAAAATATATATAGAACGTTTATATCTTATAAATTCGGAGAAAAAAGTGACTGTAATGGGCGATAGTGAATTTTTTAGTCAAGAAGAATGGCAAAAGGTGACTTAAATGACGGGATGGCGCAAGAGCAGTGCGTTCCCAAAATTGGACGTCGCGAGAGCACGTGTGAGAATACCGGCGGCTGGTGGTACGTACGTTCCGAGACATCAACGCGAGAGTGCTGGTAGTAATCCACGAGAGAGTTCGTCACAATTTCGTTTTCGGGCGATGAAACGCGTAGGACGATTTCTACCCGAGAATACAGCCGCGCTGCAACTCCGACGTTTAATTATGTACACGGTTGCCCTTTGGTTTATTTTGCTCTCTCTCTCCCCGCCGGCGGCAGGTAGAGGTTTTGCATCACTGACGGTCAGAAGTGCGATTCCCCGAGATTTGAATTTCTAACGCGGAGTTTCCTCGACGCGCAGGAGCGTCGAAACGGAGCTAGTGCGCGAAACAGGATTTTCGATCGCTACGTCCGCCGGGGAAATTAGATATTAGCTTGGTTGTAATATCGACCCGACGACAGCGGCGGCGGGGAGACGTTCGCGCGATACTCACAATCTCTGGACATGCCGACGGCTAGGCACTTCTTGAATCTGCAGTACTGACAACGGTTCCGATTTAATCTGATGACGAGACACTTGCCGTCTCTCAAGCATCTGTACTCTATCTGCTTCTGTATGCTCCTCCTGAAGAAGCCCTGAACAGGAAGTAAGGAAGCGCTATTAATAACGATCCCGTAGATCGCCGCGGGGTTAATTATACCCCGCCGGCGTATAAAATACGACACCTCACGCCCTTCTTTATATCGCCGGGAGTCGCGCGGAAAGCGCGCGCTCGTGGGAAAAGCGGCTCCTCGAGCGCTTTATTAACGTATCACGGGCATTTCCCCAGATGGAATTCCGCATTACGGTTCCATCGTAATTATGCTTACAGTACGATCCAATCATTCCATGCAAAACGATATCCAGTGCCGCATTTATACAGAGACTAGTGCCCTCCCATCGGAAAGGGGTCCCATTTCTCACTTATTTCTAAGCAGTTAACTGAGTCGTTTGACGTAAAGATATATATATATATATATTTATTTATTTATTGTTTGATTAAGCAATCCTCTTTATCGAATCTAACATTCGTTTATTTGCTCTATTTTCAAAAAGACAAATTTGCTTCAATTACAGAAATTGTATTAAATTCAAAGAAACCTTTTTCTCCGTACAAGCGTCTTTTTGGAACAGAAGATTCCCCGATTCTTCTCTCGGCAAAAGTTACGTAAAAACTAACTCTGTCGTGCATCGGGAGTATTTATTTTTCGAAATTACTTCGGCAAGTTTAAACTTTCTCTCAACGTATGGCAAAATTCTCTTGAAACGTTCTCAGCTAACATCCGTGACATGCTAAAGAGAGAGACCGGATCGGTGATCCTGGAATGCATCTCCTGCAGAGCCTTTCCTTTCACGCTAATATCTATTACGTAAACAGCGGTCTGGAGCGTAACTTTAGCGAAGCGAAAAGCTCACGCGGAAGTAATGAAATAATGGAGACGGCGTGTGTGGACGAGTTGTGCGAGCGTTGCGCTGAAAGCATCGGTTTATTGGCTCATTTACTATCGGTGTTAATTGATGAAAGGTATAACGGGGTGTCATACAACAACAACGACGTGTATCCAGCATCCAATATCCTGGAATACCAGATAGACCGAGACTGGGTGTAATATAACTGTCGATACTATTAGTAACCGATGGCGCGCCTCGGCTTGTTTCTAAAATCGATACATCACGTCGCACCGGTCTCCATTTGTCTCCGTCTCGCGCTCACGAGCGAGCGCGAGACGGAGAAAGTAACAGTCGCAGTGATTTCGGATGATTCAAGATTACACCGTGCGGAATCTTTCAACGAGAAAGAGGGAGAGAAGAAGGGGGGAGAAGAAGAACGAATGAACGAAAACAGAGGTGATGAATCGCGTGGCGTTGATCGACCGGTGTGCAATTGGTATTAAATTACTCGATCACGGTGAGAAGTGACAAAAAATACAAAGTGGACATGCATGCCGAATGTCTCCATCGGGATTGAGTCGAATTATAACCGAGCTTTTATCGCTATGAGAAAGCCAATATCCGCTTCCACATTTACGCGCGAACTTCGTTCGAGCTCTCTTCGAAGCTTAATTCTTTCTCTCTCTTTTTCTCTCGACACGTTGTTTAATGCGAATTAAATAATTTCGTAAGCATTCCGAATCTCGAGTCGACATCGCTTAATCCGATACCACCGAGCTTCCGAGGAAACGAGCGGTGCAACAACATCTCGAGCCATTGCGGTGTGAGCCAGTAGTAAAACACCACGCTGGGTCAGACGAAATGTACCGCTGCGCCGTCACCGCGTAGTAGATTCAGCCGGCAGTGGCCGTACGTACGGGCGGACGACGAGCCGTTGTCTCTCGTCGATTTGCGATTTTTTATTCTTAATATCTTCGAAAATAAGCTTGCGACGACAAACTACTATGATATTAAAGCTTAATATGCAGACATTATAAATAGAAACGTAATTTTGCTTGATAAATATTAATACTAAATACTAAATAATTTACTTAATACAAAATACCAAGTATATTTTTTAATACTAAATTTATGATTGGCTCCCTTGATGCGTCACTAAAAATATGATACTGAGCTTTACAACTTCTCACGATCATGATCGTATGCATTGATGGAGTTTATTTTGTTAATATGAAATTGAAGTTAAATTACAGGACTTTGTCTCGATTTGAAGCACAGTTTCGTCACTCGAATCTCCACGAGGATCGATGCTGAATATTGGAAGAAGTGAAGGCGCAAATGCCGCTCGTGCAACGTTGGAACCGTGGAATTCTTATTTCTTATTGTCACTTTTGAAGTTTTTGGCGAAGCGCGATTCAAAGACGCGAACAAATGAGGGTTCGCTCCACGGCTAATTTTAGGTGGACTTTACCGTAACAGAATTATACATGCGCGCTCAACTTACGCCTAAGTTGACTGATTTTAGCCCGATGTTGAGTCTTTCACGCTGTATGAGTTAAGAAATCAAATTCAATTTAATTTACTCCTATTTTAATCCTGATGATGTCTTTGTCTGAAATTTCCATTTTTGTTGTTTCAGCGTCGAAATAAGTTGCTCAGTGTGGCATTAAAAAGGAAATCTGTAGAATTAGAGATTCAAGAGAGAAAAAAGTTAACAAGTACCAACTTTGTCAGAATAGATTTTTTTATTAATCTACAGGCCACCTTTAAGCAGATTATTTTTAAGAGTAGCATCCAAATTTCGACTCGGACGTGCTCGCATGCGTCCGCTAGCGCGAATTTCACCGTTAACTCCGGCCTTAGGGCTTCCGCGTATGAAATCTCAGGTGTGCACGGCGGAGGGAGAAGGAGCGTGCATCTCTCCCACGATGTTTAAGAAGCGCGCGTACCGATAAATATCCTGCCCCGAAGTGCGAATGTTTCGGATTATTATACGATGTATCGTCGTCATGCATCCTTGCTGAGCGAAGCTGCACCCACTATCACCGTCGCGAGGTCAAATCGAGCGTCGAGAACTCGCTGAAGTATCCAGGCGAGCGATTAAGTAAGTAGGCACAAACTATCCTTTAAAAGCGTAAAAGTACATGGAGAAGAATGATTGCTTGAATTAGCGTGACAATGAACAAACCGTTTTGGTTGAAGGAAACAGAGTTTCTGGTCCGAGGAGCCGATATTAGTTCCGTAAGAACTAGGAATTCTTTTCGAGGAGTTTTCCTTTAACGAAAACCCGTTCACTGTCACGTCAACTAATCTTTCCTCTCGGTGTAGTATGAAAATTTCGATTCGGGTCGATGATGAAATTCCTCGGACGGGATAGTCGATAGAGTTCGGCGGCTTTTCCCGGCGATATGCGAAAATTAACGTCGCACAGTTTGCCTGCTTTCTCAAGGTCCGACTCTCTCCTCGTTCGTTCGTTCGCATACTCACCTTGCAACCCTCGCAGCTGGTTACGCCGTAGTGATAGCCGCTCGCCTTATCGCCGCAGACCTTGCAGGGTACGAAGCTCTTAGCGGGCGTCGAACTGTTTGAATCAGCTGCCGCGTAATGCTGTTCTGTAACAGAAGGAGAAACCGAAATTAACGGGAGGCTGACACGTCGTGGATCCCTCTGACATCTTTTCCGCCGAGATAAATCGCGATCCCCCAAGGACCTATCGCTGAAATCACGCGCGCGCGAGTTCCCCACGGACGTCCCTCGTTTCCCTCTTAAGATTTTTATTCGCGCTGTCTTTTCTTCGGCCGATGTGTGTCAGGTTTCTAAATAAAATACGCGACGAGGGAAGACAGGTCGGTCGTATTCGCCCCGCCGAGAACGACGCCGCGAGCTCGCCCGAGACACACACGTGGCGCATTCATCCAGCATCGGCCGGCGTCTCTCTCTTTCTTTCGCCCGTTCGGCAGGTAACTCGTTGCATCCATAATGCAATCGAAGCTCGCCCGTGCGAGGGAATAGGCAGTCGCGTTCAGGCTGGACGCGTAACGGGAAGCCGGCGTCACCGTTACAGAAAGGGGGCAACCGGCGGCGGCAGAAGAAGAAGACGAAGAAGCAGCATCAGCAGCGTCCAACTAGATGCAAGAGGAGGAGGAGGGGGCGAGGGAGAAGATGGAGCAGGGGAGAAATGAAAAAAGATGAGCAAAAAGGCGGCCGCCGGGAAAGGGAGAGAAGGGAGCCGTATATAGGAGCAGCTTGCGACGTGTATACCGTTGCGAAACCCCTGCCAGAAGATGTCGTTATCAGTGCGCAAGAAGAAGAAGAAGACGACGAGGAGGGGGAGGAAGAGGAGAAGGAAGAAGAGACGGTAAGCACGTCGAAAGGAGCAGGCAGGAGAGAGAGAGAGAGAGAGACCCGGCCGATTCCAATCCGACAGCCTCGCCGCGGAGCAATGCGATTTTATGACGGCCGCAGAGTCCACGCGACGAACGGTACCGCTCGCATCGCGAGGACAATCAAGAGCAACCCCGTTACTCCTTTCCTTCGTGAACGACGAACGGAAGACTCGACAGAAGGCGCGACCGACCGCTCGATGGAATCGATCGCTCTTAACCCTGAAGATACGTATTTTCCACGATAAAATGGACGGACGGACGAGTGAATGTAGTAAAGTCGATGCACGTGTGTGATAGACGCGCGCCGATGGTATTCCCGATCGATCTGTAATTTCGAGAGGGCAAGGCGGAAGCGCAAGGCATACATGGCTGCGCACACGATCGTCACTTGACCGATCAGCACCATTTGGTTTCAACACGATTTTTCCTCGACGGAACATAGCCGATGGTCTAATGAGAGATCTTAAGGATGCATTGCCCACAATTCAAGATGATGAAGGAACAATTGCAGATTGATCTACATTGCATTTAAAAGTGACACCAACAGTAATTCAGGATCAAAAGACTTATTCCACTTAAAAGAAGATTGTAAGGTGAAATGAGTTTGATAAAAATTCGATGAAACTTGCACTGTGTACATATTGAAATATTATCTAACTCGTTGTTCGTGCAATTAGTAAAAGACTGACCATTAGAGGGCTGAGATATTTGTAACTAAAGTTGACACTTTTTATACGTATCCTTTGAGAGTAGCGCGCTATTTTTAATTTTTATTTTTAATACCTTCTAAACTAAAAATAAGATTTGAATGAAAGAGCTATTATGGTTTTAAGAGTCGTTCAACAATTACGAGGGAGGGAGGGATTGGTTTAAATGAGAGGGAAGAATCAAGCACACTTATTTTCATGCTAGATTTAAAGAAATCGAGTAACATAATAAGAAATGGGGACACATGTTACGAATAAAGTCCGAATATGCGACGAAGAGCGAGGGAGGAGGGGATATTCACATTTCGTGTGATGTAATTGTTGAACAGCCTGCCGAAGTAATCGTGCAAATTGTACGATTCAACCGCGCGATAACGCAACGCACTGCATCGCGGTCTCTCTGAAAGCGGCCAGATTTCCACGACGCTGTATAATCCATCAGTCTGCTAATAAATCGATTACGCTATATCCGGGAGTGGCTCGCCTTTGTTCGGGAATCAGCGGCGCGGTAAATGCACCGAAAGCGCCGCGCCGAATAAACGGCACGACGCGATGCTAACGATATTATTGCGCGTTCGATAGTATCGCAAACGATACACACCCGCTCGTTTCACGTTTATTAGCAACTATCCGCGCTCCGGCTCTAATAAACACAATTAAATCCGGCCATTTATCGGCGAACCGGCCGCTTTCGCTCACATCTGACGAATAAAAGGTAATGGTTGTTGCAGCCGTAATGCGGGTTCAAAGGTAAAGGCTGCGTACGAAGCTCCGTATTAACGTAAAATATAACGGAGGCCCGGCGAGAGAGTCAGTAGCGGAAGCGTTAACGATAACTGAGATCGCCTCGAGAACCTGCTATATTCAGTCCCGAATTCCGTCGTTCACTGGTCAACGGTCAAGTGTCAGCGCGGAAACGCGGCACGGTTTCCCCTCGTTATCGCGAATCTACGTGTACTAGCTGAAGGTGCACCCCATTGTCGGCGAGCACTGACGCGTGTTGGACGCGACGCTCCGGAAGAAAGCGGAGTAACATGCTCTCTCTTTCTCTCTCTGCGGAGGTGTGAAAGAAGTTGCTCGCTCTGAGTTACTTGAAGTTACCGGCTCGTTAAGTAACTTCTCTCACTCCGAGAAAGTTTAGGGAAATATCTATTGGAAAGAACGACTCCTCGATCGCAATGACTCGTGTATCGAGTCAGGGAAAGAAGAAGGGAGGAGGAGAAAAACGAGACTCCGTGAAATTGTGTCTATAATAGATGAATGCTTAATAAAACGGACAGGTGTGCATATTAAAAGATAACTCTCTTGGAGTGAAATTCGCTCGAAATCACTCGGATTACGTGCAGCGTTTTATCTTACTGTATTCTATAATCTCCAATGCGATTTTCTCGCGAGATGTGTAATTATCGTCTGATTGATCCCAGACGATTCAACCGGAGTTCCGTCGCGACTTGATCCGCTCGCGCGGCCTCGACCTAGGCTGCAGTTTCACGGCGCTTAGAATCCCTTGTTTACAAGGAAGAGTCGCATACATTTGCTCGGGTCACGGCATTCGTATTCCAAGCCTGCGTCCAGCCGTCCGCGTCCGCGACATCGTGTCCGAGTGCAGTGTGCGAGTGTGCTTCTAGTGTCGATACGTGATGGCATGCCGACGTTGTGCACTGTGCCAGAGGCGAGGCTCTCGTCGTAAAACTGCTTTTACCGCAGGGGCTGAGGCGTCGCCCGCTACCCGGACGAATTTTCAAAATCTGCCAGTTATTATGTGAACGGTAAAAAGATTTGTCATGAAAACTAACTGCCATTCGCTAGATTATTTTGCCCGATGAGTTTTGCGATCCCAAAGAATTTACTTTTTAGTCACTCTCGGTCGTTGTCACATTTTCCTATTAGATGCGCGGCGAAACTCATCGAGAAAAAGCGTGGCAACCTTTAATCATCCGACTGTGTTCACATCAGATTTATTCTTGAATTTCGAATGGAAAATATTCGCCCGAGGGCGGAAATTCGCTCCGCTCACGAAGTGAAAAATCTCGCTCGAATTCGCTTCGGCGGGTCACTCGGCTCTTCGAGTGGAGTTTCACCCGAGCCGCATCTAAGTATCGTCCTCGCTTATTCTACCGGGACGCTCCCATTCGAATTACTTCGCGTTACGGCGCTCGCAGATATGATCGGACGAGTCATCCCCGTGAACTTGAATCTCATTTTTATTGTTCCCGCGGGATCCCGTCGCGCGTATAATAAAGACGAGGTGCACCTCGTATCGCATAATAAACGCTATTACGCGTGAGATAATATTAACGATCGCAATGCTGCCGGAAATATCGCGCGACCGCGTATGTACCGTTACGCGCGAGATTAGCGCGGATACCGCGCGTACGACTCGCGTAATTAGCGCGGCAGCCTCGATGCGTTCGCGCTTCTTTTCTCCACGTGCGTGAGGCTGGCCGAGGTAGTCATACGATCTAATCGAAGGCAACCGTTTCCTTTGAATCCTAACAGACTTAAACTCATAAATTTCCAAATCACTTATGTAAACGAATCCGTACTTCGAATATCCGTCGAAATCTAGCTGTGAGTTGGGTAGCTTTAGCTTAGTTCTCGTCAAGCTACCGAACAGTAAAGACCAAGTTCTCTATCGCCGCTCGTAAAAGCAACATCAGCCGTGCACCAAAGAGACCGGGATAAAGCTTAAGCTAATACCGCCATCACAAAATATTGAAATAGCACTTAAGTGCCTTTTATATATGTATTAATTATACGCTCTATTCCCGATTTTTGTGCTAAAGAAGATTTGGCAGAAAATCGCGATTAAAAAGGGGATGCTGGTTCAATGAAAACTATCACTCCGAATTCTTCGCCTAGCTATTTCCAAAATTTCATATCAATTTCGCACGTGCTACTGTAACTTGCGGAACTCATGACACGGCGCGAATCGATAAGCTCGCTCACTTAATAAGAAATCGCGATCGTTGAAGGGACGAGCCCGTAATCTCCGGCCAGACTCGTGCATGCGCCTTCGCGTTTCGGACAAATAATTTATGGTCGCGTTTATACGCGCTCGCTTTCCCAATGCACTTTCTACGGCCGATCTCTGTCGCACGAGAGAAGTCTCTCTCTCTCTCTCTCTCTCTTCACACCTGCCTTCTCACTCTTTCCGTCTTACTCCCTCGTCTATCCGCGCTCGTTACGCAATTCCAAAGATATACGGTCGCTTCGGGAATGTCCGCGGGTGGGTCCGTCTTGCGGAATTTCGATGTATTTTGGAGAGGGCTGTCGAAAAAAATACCAAGCAGGTAGATATTGCCAATTCCAAAGAAAAAGAGGGATGATCGCTCGACGGGAGCCTTCGTTGAGTTACATTCCGGAGACAAATATCTCATTCCGGGCTACTTTTACGATCTCCATTCCGCGCGAAAGGCTGGAAATAAGCTGACGCAGGTGGCTCTCGGTCGCAGCTCCGCCCGCAACGAGGAAGTTCGGCGATGCTCGGGACTTGGTCGAGCGGTTACCAGGGGCGGC